ATATGTAATACAGCTTTTGGGTAAAAATTGCAGTAAAGTTTCAGTATGTCTCAAATGTCACTTAAAACTAAAAGTTCACGGTTCTCAGTAAGATCGTTCGCGAGTATCAAACCTCCTGATAAAAAATGTTGTGAATGTCATAAGTTGCATTGCTGCAATTCCGCGCAAAAACTGTTCCGGATTGAAAGCGATGCTTTCATAACACCTAAACCCGTTAAAACGGATGAAGAAGATGATGAGAGTTCTATTTCAACCTATTTATCCTTGAGCCTTGCGCTGGGTGAATGCTTCTGTATTAATTGTCCATTAAAAAATTTGTGTAAGTTTTTTTAAGAAAATGCATTATTTATTATTTATTTATATTTATTACATTATTTTATAATTTATTAAATAATTAAGTTTCAAAAATATTCTTTATGGAGTTGGGCTTTCTAGTCCTATTTTAATATAGGACTATATATATATATATATTTTTGAATTTTTGAATTTTTAAAATTGTAAATACTCCGAAGACATATTTTAACCATTTTGACACAATTGGCACGACATACAAATGTATATCACTGCTAATTATAGTCCTAATTGATAAATCAATTTTAAAAACTAAAGTTTTGAAGCAACAATACACTTTGTGGTATAGATTCTTTTTAGAATTAGTAACTTATAAATGTTTTCAAATTAATTTAGTATTTTTGTTTCTAAAGATGTCCGCTTTGAAACAAAATTATTTGTTTTTTTAATAAAAAATACATAATGATGAGTTGTTCGGAAAGCAATTTCGTCTCTTCCTAATATAGGGTTTAATAAATTATATTTTTTTATTGCTAACTTTACATTAAAACAATGGCAAGCACTTCTCTATCTTTACTCTGTATGACAATGCCAAAATCACTCGTATTGCTGAGTACCTTTTGACACTCGCCCGTAGGTATCTCACCCGGCTCCATGACCTCCCTCCTGATGTCTCTTGTCCAGATACCCTCCCAGTAGACCTTGTTCTAACTTTACGTTTTAAACCTCCACAGTACCTTCTCCACTATTTTGATGAGCTGGACCAAAATCCTCTCGCTATTCCCCTCTTTAACCGCGGCTTTCGTGACCCTGGTCACAAAGTATATCACTAGTCTCACCCCCACTAACTAGCCGTAAACTCACCACCTTCATTATTATCCTTTCTTCTTAATTCATGCCCTTGCTTTCTGACTTAGATGAACCTAGTTCACTAGGTATTAAGTCTATCTACTTTCTATCTCCCCTGATTACTGAAATGAAGTTCCCACATTGCTGTGGGAATCTTCTCCATACATTCCTAAGAGTGGGTTTTAGTGGGTTCAAGTCAAAAACATTAAAGCCCATAATCATCATATATTTTGCCAGCTAAGCCTTACTTGTGCAAAAATTCCATTGATTCTACACAGTAGTTTTCTGCTGGCGTCATTTTAAATATGAAAAGTAAATAGCAGTATTTTTGGCATATTTAAAAGTTAAATACGCCAAATTAAAAAAATGCTGTTAAAATAACAAAAAAATTATTCCTTGTTTATGGAGAAGACGTATTGATGTGGTTTGCACAAATCTGACTCGGCTATTTCGTGTTGAAGTTACATCACATACTGGACGGTCAGTTGAAGATGATGATAATCTTTTTTTCAGCTCATGTCGGGTAATACAACAATCAATTCTGAAGGGTACTTTCATAAGCAAAATGAATGCGATACTTCGACAGAAGAGACCTGAATAATTGAAATATAGAAATCTTGTAGTGTTCCACCAAAATAATGTGAGACCGCATACAAGTTTTGGTGACTTACGAAAAGTTGCCAAATTGCCATACTCACGATATTTCCCATATCTGGTAGCGTCTGTTTATTATTTATGCCTTTCTCTACAAAAATTTTGAAGGTAATACCTCTGCTTCAAATGAGAATGGAATCGTGTTTCTGTTAGAAAGATGGCAAGAGGTATTTGACTAGAATGGACAATATTTAGTTGCATAAAATATTTATTCACAATAATAAAATCGTCTTTAACTTTTATAAAAACAAAAACGTAAGGTTTTTGAACAGTACTTAATTACAACACAATTTTTATTGTTTTTAATTAATTAAATTTTTGGGTGACCATACAGCTATTTCGAGTATTGGCAAATACCCATCATCACTCCGTCTTTTAGAAATATAATACTTAATACTTTATACTTAATAAATAACTTGTTGACAATGCAAGTACCAAGATTTGAACTTGTACCCTGTCAAATTTGAAGCTCAGCGTTAGTGGTAATTAGCCAATTGACTCAAAGCCGTACTTTTATTGATCTTACTTGAAATTTAATTAATTATTTTGCTCTGGAAGTTCATTAATAAATTCAATTGCAAATTATACAATAAATGAATTAATAGTTGTTTTCACTCCGTCTTGCAAAATTATTGTAATATGCACGAAATGTAAGAATGCTATACTAAAATTGCAAGAGTGCGAGAATACCTCCATTGCAGAATTGCAACATCAAAATAAAACAGCTGTTTTTGCAGCATACCACAGCCACATGAGAAACAGCAGATGTCAAAACAGCTGTTTTTTCCCCCTCTTTTGTTTAGTTACAACCATATATACATGGGTTTAGGTATAGAAGGTGGCAAAAAATTGCAAGAAACTTTGCGCGTGTGTTTTGTTCTTGTCTATTGCAATTATACACAATCTGTGCATTTCGTGCATCTTCCAATGAGTTTGCAAGATAGAGCGAATCCCTCTAAAAGTTAAGTTATTTTTAATTGTTGTGTTTCAGTATTATTTCTTTTTGTGTCGTTAATATTTATTATGGTTGGGAATTACTTCCCACACAACCATCTATAAAGCTACCTTTAGCATCAAGTTAAAGTAATTATAATTGACTAAAATTTGGTATATGTTGATCTATATTGAGATTTTTCCTTTCCATACGATTTACATTGTTTCTTGAAACAAGAAATCGTCTCCTCCTGTATTTATACTATTTAGTTAAAAACGGCCTGTATATATTAATAAACTAAATATATTAATTATTAAAGCTCTTTTTGTTTTCTCTTTTTCTTGTTTTAAATTTACTTATTTTCTAATTTATTGAATTTTGTTAAATACACAATATATAGAAATTTGCATTTTCTTTAAAATGTTCAATATTCTTATTAATAGAATGTAAACAATGTAACTAATACGTCACCGAATGCAAAATTACATATTGTACATTACAGCGGGTGAATGTAATAATGTGGCGATAACTGTGTAAGAATGTTATACTTATATATGTATATATATTTATCTACATACGTGTGTATTTTGTGTTAAATTTGAAGAAAAAGAACCTAAGTAAGTAAAGCCAACTAATTCCAAGGTTTTTCCCCCTGTCAGTCAACCTCGTCTCACTATAATTTAGTTTGTAATTTTATTTATACTCTTAATTCGAAATTATTTGCATTCAGTCTGAAGTACTTTCTTGCACTCTCACATCGTATTTCTGTTGGATGGTAGCATTAAAAACAAAATGTTAGCAGATACATTATCACTGAATAGTTTAAACTCCTACGAGGAAATTTCTTCACCACAAATAATTGGTAAGAAATATTGACCTTTAAATATTTCTCATTCATACATATTGCGTGTATATATTCTCTATTTTTAGTTTGTAGTAATTTTTTCAAAGTATATGGAATTTAAAATCGAAACCCTTAATTAATTGAATAAAAAATTTATAAATTTAAGGTTTGAAACTTATAGTTTTAATGTTAAAAAACTTAGAAGTGTGTTAAGGCACTCAGTAAATTCTATAGAGTTCCTTATGAAGAAATATGTTGCGCATACAAATTATTTACAAATATTTGAATAATAAAAAGTGCAGTGGTCGAATAATAGTTTTAAGAACTAATTTTATCAGTAATATTTTGTTGATTACTTTCAATAATTATTTTTTTCGAATTTTTCATATAGTTAACATAAAAGATTTTCGCTGTTTGCAAAAATATTTGTTTAAAAATAAAAACCTATACATGCCTGTACCTATATATATATGTGGAATGTGTTTAAATTTTATTGTAGGAAAAATGTTATATGGAGAATTATTGACCCCATATGTGAAGAATGATCTAGCTTGAAATACAAAAATAAAGCTTAGTAATAGTCGGTGATGCAGCGCATTTAAGTGAAAAGGAATATACTTAGAGAACTTTTTATAGAGATTTTGTGATACGCGGCAACGTTAAAAATATAAATTTAAATATTGTTATAATACACTACTGTTCACAAAATCTTACTATTAAGAAATAGTTTCTATTAAGAAAAAAATTACTTTAATTTATATTATTACTATCGACAGTTATCGACAGTATAATCCGCGTTTACATTAAATTCTGAATATAATGAGCTTACATTTTGTTCGGAAATGATTCAGATTTGATAAGAATATATATGTCGCTTTATATATTCGAATTTCGTAGAAAGCACAACAATTTGTGATATTCTTTTATGAGTACCGAGAACAGAGTCAGATATGAAAAAGTCCTTACTGTTTTTTTATTATATGTTTACTATTATTTTTTGTTTATAGTAATCTTTTAAAATTAGATACAAATTATATTTTTTAATTCACTCAGTTGAATTTCACAGACATGTTTTATCAAATAAAAAATCCAATAATCTCCCCCCAATCAACAGCTGTTGTTGTTTGTAACCTGAAAGTCGATTTGGGAGGTGTTGAACGGCACTTAATCGTCGGAGACGATGAGTGGCTCCGGCACGTAGACCCGACCGTTCTTGGAACATCGACAGTTGGTAGGATCCGAATGGTGGTATATTTTTAGTTATCTTATCCTTCCTTTTATGAAAGACGCTGAGATCCTTTATTGCGCTTCTATCTATCTATAGAAATACTCTTTTACATATTTTTAAGTAATATCTTTACAATAAATAAACATACAAAAATCTAAGCATATCTTTTAAAAATTTCTTTTATAAATATTTTATTTCAGATGATCCTGTATTTGCCGATATAGTTTCACAAGTAGAAACTGGTATCGAACATGGTATAATGCCAGAGCGAATTTATCAAGGCAGTAGTGGTTCATATTTCGTTAAAAATAATAATGGAGTGAGTAAATTCAATATTTAAACGCAAAAATAATTAATTAATTAAATATGTAAGCTCTTAGAAATATTTGTTGCTTCTAAAGCTTAAAAGCAAAAAATAATTCTTTAGTGTTAACAAGAGCTAAAAAAATAAAAGAATTTTGAGTGGGGAAATTCTTCAATTAGTGTATTTGTTGAATTTTTGGTAACATGTCTTACAAAAATAAATGCAATCTTAAATATTATTTTAAATATAATATAACTTTTAAAATAAAATTGAAATTTTTTATTTAGCAAATATTAGCTGTTTTCAAACCCAAAGATGAGGAGCCTTACGGTAGACTGAATCCAAAGTGGACTAAATTAATGCATAAAATATGTTGTCCTTGTTGTTTTGGGCGGGCTTGTTTAATACCAAATCAAGGCTATTTATCCGAGGCCGGAGCTAGTCTAGTCGATCGCAAACTGAAATTAAATATTGTACCAAAAACTAGAGTTGTACGTTTAGTAGCTAAAACATTTAATTATGCACGCATAGATCGGCAAAAAGCGAAGCTTAAGCAACGCATAAAAGAGCATTATCCTGCAGCCCATTTCAACCGAATGAGCTTACCTTTAAAGGTAAGAATATGCTTTTTATTATATTTTTTTTGATAAAAAATTTTTTTTCATATCTTCAATACAGACTGGTTCTTTCCAACTTTTTGTTGAGGGTTATAAAGACGCGGACTACTGGTTGAGGCGTTTTGAGCAAGAGGAACTTCCGGAACCAGTTGCTAAATCATTTCAACTGCAGTTCGAACGTCTTGTGATATTGGATTACATAATACGAAATACAGATCGCGGTAACGATAATTGGCTAATTAAATACGAATCACCAACGCCCAAGCCCAATGTTTTACACAAATTAAGAGCTTTTACGACTGACAAACGAACGGTTCCCACTGCTGGTTTTTTGCATAGCGGTGCGATTGACGAAAATGAAGATGAAAATTCAAGATCGTCGTCAAACCCTGACATGCCATCCACTAGTCAAAAGGGAAACGACACAAATGCTCGTGATAATGTGGTTGAAAGTGATGATGAGGATGAAGTACCGCCGCCGGAAATAAAAATTGCTGCCATCGACAATGGTTTGGCATTTCCATTTAAACACCCCGATTCGTGGCGAGCTTATCCTTATCATTGGGCTTGGTTACCGCAAGCTAAAGTGCCTTTTAGTCAAGAAACAAAAGACCATGTATTACCATTCTTATCTGATATGAATTTCGTAGAAGAAATTTGTTCAGAACTATTATCGTTGTTTCAAGTAATTATTCATTTAATTTTAAACGTATAAAAATGCAAATAAAACTATTAACTATCATTATAGCAAGATAAAGGTTTTGATAAAAGACTTTTTGAACGACAAATGTCTGTGATGCGTGGCCAAATTTTAAATTTGACACAAGCTCTTAAAGATGATAAATCGCCCGTACAGTTGGTGCAAATGCCTGCAGTTATTGTTGAGAGGTAATTAACTTCAAAGTTTAATATTTATTTTTTCAAATAAAATAATATTCTTATTTAAAAGAAACAGTTCCTAAATTTATATTGAAATGCTATATTATTGGAAATAGACTGAAATGTTTGCTGTATTGGGTTTTTTTATTAAATCAATATGTTTTACACTAACTGTTAACAATTATTAAAAAGCCTCAGTCATTTCAGTCTTTACAAAAATGACTTGTATGAGCCTTAAAATAGAAATGGGCGTTATTCTTTATTTAAATGGACTAATTCAGAGTTTGTTTTTATACTAAACAAGCCATGTCATTCAATTTTATAGCAGATTGTTGAGCTGAAAAGATGATTGTTTTCTTTGCGTTAACATGATTTGAAAATCTTATATCACTAATATCTCGTTGCTTGCTTAAATTGATCATAACAACTCATTATCGATTTTCTGCCTACTGCAGTACTCCTATTCAGGTGGCGCTGCTGCGTGTACGCTTTCTTCAGTCTCGTTCATCAAGCGCAGTTAGCTCTCACTTTACTTGATCAGTCTACCGGAAATACGTTCTACTTCTATGCTTTCTTTCTCCAATTGCTGCTTCTAACATCTTTTTCGCTGAAGCCTTGTCATCTATTCTCACGACATGACGAAGTCAGCGAAGCCGCACTAATATTCTCTGTATGCCCAAAATTTAAATGTAATTGTTTTGTCTTTATCCTTATAATTTTTCATGCCGTTATAAGTTTTCAAATCATGACATTTATGATAGTATTTTAGCTGCTTTATAGTAAAAATGTGGTAGAAATCATAAAACCTACTCAATTTATATACTTTGAAATAAAACAAAGTACAGAATTACAAGGAACTTAGTTATTAGTATTATTAGTAAACTACAGAAGACTACGATTAAGTACGTTCCATTACAGTCTAACCTTTAGAAGGGTTAACAAGAAATTAACAATCAGTTTTACTACTTTTTATATAAAATAACACTGGTAACCTGCTGGTGTAGATGCATGTTGAGGGAGAGAGAGAGAGAGAAAATAATTTTTTTTTATGATTCCTGCTATAAGATATCCAAAATATTCAAAAAATAGACCATTAAGGGTGTTTTAAAACGAAAAAAAAATCATATTAAATTATGTCTGAAGACTATATTGGATTTTTCTGTCAATAAATAAAATTAGTGTTTAACTGAATAGAAAATGTTAAACCCCAAACACCAACTAATATGTATGAATGTGTGTAACACATTCAAAATAAATAAAAGTTAAAGTTTAAGAAAAATATGTAAATACACACACTATTAATGATTATTTTCTTCATTAAACTTTATTCATATAGTTAAGTTGGAGCTGAAACGAAACGCACTCTTCTGCAGTCCATTTATAACTCTGCTTTATTTATTTCTCAAAAATCTTAAAATCTAAAATTATAATAATTGTCTTAAAAACTAAAAGAGAGTTTTACAATATACTTATAATTAGGTGTAGTTCACACACATGATATGATATATAATGATATATTAAGTATATTATAATATATGACACCCTCACCCCTACATTCAACAGTCCCTGTTGAACGTTTATTTCAATTAATCTAATTAAATTACTAAATCATATTTAAATTTTAATGTTATTAATTATTATTATTGTTTTGAAATTTAAACTTTCGCTTTACTTGTGTTTTATATATTTTTTTAAATTTGTTGTTATTTGACAATATGTAATTCCCTTCTTTCCTGTAATTAGTAATTCTTTTATATTTTGGTTGTGACTTACTGACTCTATTATTATCTACAAATTGATTTTCAAATTGCTCGGTATTAACATTGTTCTTTTTTATGTTTATTGTCTTAATTTTGTTTACTTTATTTTTATGTATTTGGTCAGATAAGTTAAAAAGTTCTTCTTTAGATATTAAATTATTTATAAGATCTATAGGTCTTTTTTTTGTAGTAGAATGTATAGTGTTATTGTATAGGGTAATAGATTTAAATACTTTCTCATTTATACCATCCTTGTTGTCTACGTCGGCGTTAAATAACCTGATATGTTCGTTCAGAGTGAGATGTAACCTCTCTATGTCACTATTACCTGATTTTTTATACGTGGTTGTAAACCTAAAAGATATGTTATTTTCTTTAAAGAATTCTTTTAAAGATATAATATCTAGTTCATTATCTGTGACTATATTTTTAGGTTTACCTAAATATTGAACTCTCATTTTGATCCCTTCTAATATCGAGATCCATGATCTGTCTTTCAAAGCGTGCGCTGTTGCATACTTCGTGAGCTTGTCAATACTGGTTAAGAACATAATATTTCTTTGGGGATACCAGATATCAAAATGAACGATTTCATTGTGACAACGTGGAGTTTCTGTTATATTAAGGCAGTGTTTCAGTGGCTGCCTATCATATTTGGCCAGATTACATATATCGCAGTTATTGATAAATTTTTGTATTGTTTTTAGAAAATCAGGGTAGTAATACTTTAGTTTCAGCTCTGAAAATATTTCATTAACACCTCTATGATTATTTCTAGTATGCTCCTCTTCGATTATATTAAGTAATTTGTCTCTATCAGTAATATCTTCCAGTAACGTGTTCGATTTTAATACTCGTAACTTGGTGTTATTTGCAAAGTATTTTGAGTACAGTTCTTGAAATTGTAAATATAATTGATTATCGCTACAGTATACTACAATTAATCCTTTTTCAGGCAATTTATCTTGCATTATTTGTAAAAGATCACTATTTGATGAAACCCCAATTATTTCTCTAGTTTTCCTTTTGTATAAAATTTTTGTTTTAAAATACTCCCTTTTCGATTTCTGCAAAAATATTTGTCTTTTAAATAGATTGAGTGGCTTTTCTGAAATGCTAATGAAGTGCGCACTGTCAGTATCTGCACTGTGAACAGTTTCGATGTCTTCATTAAACAGTTCATTTAAGTTAATATAGAATTCGTTTATATTTTTCTCTTTTACATGTCTACTGAGCCCATCTGCTACGACATTTTCTTTTCCTTTGATGTGTGATATGTCAAAGTCATATTCATTAAGTTCAATCTTCCATCTCTGTAACTTTGAATTCGGTTCTTTCAAATTGCTAAGCCAAATAAGTGGTCTATGATCTGTCTGAATTGAAAACTTGCGACCAAACAAATATGGGCGAAAATGTTTTGTTGCCCAAACAATTCCTAAGAGCTCTTTCTCAATAGTACTATAGTTTTTTTCATTAGGTTTTAGTGCACGACTAGCATAACAAATTGCTCTACCATTTTGCATGAGTATTGCACCAAGCGCAAGGTTACTCGCATCTGTAATAAGGGTGAATTTTTTATTGAAATCGGGTGGAACGAGAATAGGGTCAGATTTAAGAAGAGTTTTAAGTTTTTCGAATGCGTCTTTATATTCTTGATCTTTTATATTAATTTTAGTATTTTTTTTTAAATATTTGATAAGCGGACATGCTATTTTCGCATAATCTTTTATGAATTTTCTAAAGAATCCTGTTATACCTAAGAATGACTTAATTTCTGTTTGGGTTTTGGGTAATTCAATCCCGTTTATAGCATCAACTTTGATGGGGTTAGGTTTTATCCCTTTAGATGTGATTAGATGTCCTAAATATTCTGTCTCTTGAACTAAAAATGTGCACTTGTTTAACTGAACTTGCAGATTATATTTACCAAGGCAATTTAAAATTTTATTAAGTGAGTCAAAATGTTCTTCTACGCTTGAAGAAAAAATGATTATATCGTCTAAATAAACAAGACAATTTTTCCCAATAAATTCTTTTAAAACACGATTCATTAATCTTTGAAATGTGGAAGGAGCGTTTCGCAGGCCAAATGGCATACGCAAGAACTCGTAGTGCCCATACGCGGTTGAGAATGCAGTTTTTGATATATCATCTGGATGCATTTCAATCTGGTGAAATCCTTTTGCCAGATCCAATGTTGAGAAGAACTTACAATCTCCTAATTTGTCAAATATGTCGTCCACATTTGGAATTGGAAATCTGTCTTCAATTGTTATATCATTAAGTTTGCGATAGTCAACTACTATACGCCATTTTTTCTCATTGCACTGATCTTTTTTAGGCACTATCCAAATAGGACTATTATATGGACTATGCGATTCTTGGATTATTCCCTGATCTAACATTTCTTTTATTTGCTTATCAATTTCATTTTTATGTATTTGGGGGTATCTGTATGCTTTTGAGTAAATTGGTACATCATTTTTTGTTATTATTTTGTGCTTGATTTCATTTGTAAAAGAGAATTTGCCATTAATATCATTGTCAAAAACTTTATAATTTTTAGCAATAATTGACTTAAGTATTTCTGAATTTTTCTTATTTAAATGTTCAGTATTAATTTTGTCAAATGTGTATTCTAATGTATTAGTAAATAATTTTATACTGTTGATTTCGTTAGTTTCTTCTTCTTTGTTCATAAAAAGGTTTAATACAGTTTTAGTTGTTCTCACTTGTCTATTTGGATAATCTATTACAAAATTTAAATCTGTTAAAATATTATTCCCTATAAGACCATCAAAATTTCTATTAAAATTGCATTCAAGAAATTCGCACAGGTAACCATCTTCTTTAAATTCTTTAAAAATTGGAAATTTACATAATTTTTGTATTTGGAACTCATTGCCAAAAGCTGTTATATTTACGTCTACTCTAGTTTTCCATTTTGGATTACAAATATTTTCATTAATCAAACTGAACTCTGCTCCGGTATCAATTATGAAATATAGTTTTCTTATGTGCGTCTCAATTATTATATAGGGTAATTGTTTTTCCCGTCCATGTAAAAATTTAGGGATGAATTTCCTATATCCATGGGTTCAGGTTTATTGATTTGACTTGAATGCCTGGATGTTCTAGTTTGTGTTCTAGACACTCCGGATGTACGATCAATATATCTTAACGGTTGATAATATTGTGGTGCTACTCTTGAGTCATTATTGAATCCATATCTATACGTTTGCCTTTGACCAGGCATTTCTGACGATCTATTATAATAATTTCTTGGAAAAGATTGATATTGTTTTGGCCTTGTTTCTGAATTATTAGACCTTGTGGATTGGTACCCTTGTGGTAATATTCTCGAATTATTGTTTGTGTTTCTATAATTATCACTAAAATTAATTCTGTTTGTAGGGCGTTGTTGACTCAAATTATATGGGCCTAATGCTGTATACGACTGGTGCCGTGCTTCTACAATAACTTTAAATGCTTCTTCGAGAGAGTTTGGGTTTCTAGAAAATATCATAGTTTTAGTTGGTTCAGGCAAATGTTCTATGAATACTTTTAATGCTATACGATTTATTTCTATTGACGAAAAGTGTAATTCATTGTGAGTGAGCCTTCTATTATGTAGTCGATTTCTAATCTTATTAATTTTAAAATGGTAATTTTCTATTGTTGAGTCCAGTCGAATCGTTTTTAATTCATCCATTAATTCAACTGTGGTTTTCTTTTCACCAAAGTTCGCTAAAAGAATTGGTTTTAAATCACCCCAATCCCGTATTTCTGCATTTCGATGTATTATTTCCCTAGTCCGACCTGTGCATCTATTTTTAAGGTAATTAAACAAAATTTTTTTGTAAGTTTCGTCAAAATTCTCTAAAGATGGTAACAGATTTTCGACCGTATTAATAAAATCTGGTAGCTGATTTATGTCAGTACCATCAAATTCAGTAATGCCATTTATACAAGTCAGAATTAGTTGAAAGTTCTGTACAACGTTAGAATTCATTTTATAAAGAATACTTTTATAGATTTATGTATAAGACCAATATGGTTGTAAATTAAATTATATTACTAAGATTAAATCAAATTAATAATATTACTTAAAATGTACAAGGTAAAAAAATGATTTTCTTAATATAATAATTTATCAGAATGATTTTATATTTAGAAAAAGAAAAAAAAATTGTTAACTATATCTCTATTAAGCTTAAAGTTAAGTTTAACGTTTAATTTATATTTTTCAATAATCAAATCAATAGCTTTTTCCTTTTTTTCCTTCAATCAACCATTCAATTTAATAATCGTTTTCAGCTTCGCTGTGCTCGTGCTGTATTTTCCTCTCGCCAACTCAGCTTCACACTTTGCAAACAAAATCCACTCTGTAATATTTTTTTACAAAATATTCAAGTTCTTTCCAACTTATTGTTGTTTTTTTTTTTATTGTTTCATTTTTTACTGAAATTTCTCTTTTTCATTTATTTTTAAAGAAATTCGTTTTTACACACTTTGAAATAAAATTTTATCATGTCATTTTTTACTGAGTTTTTATTGAACAGTTAATTAATGTTTCACAGTTATTAATATTTGAATTGCATAATTTTTTAATTGAAATTCCGCCGAAATTCGAATTTAGAAATTTGAAATCAAAAACTTCTATTCGTTTTGCTTTCCTTAAAGCAATCGAAAATAAAGAAAAAATTTTTTTTTTATTATTTTTATCCTCGTCACCAGGTAGGTATTTCGCACTGCGGCTTCACCGATTTTATAATTTGCTATCTTTAATTTTAATTCGATTATTTTAATTTTATTAATGTTCGGCTTTCGTGAATAATTATGCAGGGTTGCAGTTATTGTTGTATTTATTATTACGGGTAAATAGTTTTTTCTTTTCAAGGTTATTACCATGCTTTTGCACGTGAACACGTTTTTGAAAATAAAAATGTTTTTATTTTATATGTTTTTTATTTTTTCTTTTTAAATTTTATATACAATTATTTTTTTACAATCTTTTAATTATTTTAATTAATTATTTATACAAATTTTATTATTTTTCAACGATTGCTCGGGCGCCAGTTAAGTTGGAGCTGAAACGAAACGCACTCTTCTGCAGTCCATTTATAACTCTGCTTTATTTATTTCTCAAAAATCTTAAAATCTAAAATTATAATAATTGTCTTAAAAACTAAAAGAGAGTTTTACAATATACTTATAATTAGGTGTGGTTCACACACATGATATGATATATAATGATATATTAAGTATATTATAATATATGACAATATACATTAAAAATAAATATATATTACTATATATTTATATACCAATATACTGTATATATATACATACTATTACTATATATATATATACTATCGGACCTATTCTGTGCACTTGACAAATTTATCAAATTCTTTAATAAAATTTTTGATTTTTATAAAGCAGAAAGCTTTTTGGTATTCTGGACACATCTTGACTCTGGACACATCAAAGCTCAAGTACCTAATGCTTCTCACCACACAATGGTGTAAAGTGTTTTGTATATAAAACTGTTCGTAACTGTTCGTAATTGTTCGTAACTGTTCGTAAAAAAGAACATATATTTTAAAATGCCGAAAGCATTTTTCATGCATTCAAATCACAATAAAAAAAATGCTTGTAAGGCGCGTATATTTTAGTTAAGAATATTTGTCATGCATGCAAATAATAAAAAATGCTTAAAAAGAGCATATTTTTATAGTTGTTAACAGCATATGAGGTATTACCAACTAACAAGGAAAAGAGCTTTTTATTTATGTCACAGAATACCAAAACCTTTACAGCAGTCAATTTTGACAAGTGTCAATGTTTGACAATTTTATAAGGTGCGCAGAATAGGTCCGTATATATATAGTAATATATATTACAACTGTTTTTCGAACAGTAGTGAACTACAACAATAAAAATGTCATTTTTTATATTATTTTAATTAATTGAATTTTTGGCTGACCAAATAAAAATAAATGTTTAAATCCTACTAAAATATTTAGTAATTTCATAACGTAATAAAAAAAACCTTATTTATAATAATATGAATTTTTTTTTTAGGTCAAGAGGAGCAAGTCGAGGATTTTTCTCATTTACGCAACGCTTCCAAAATAAAAGTCCATTCTTTTCATGGTGCTAACATGACAATAAACAGTTAAGCATCGTTACCTTAATACGTATATTGTGAACATACCGCGTATGCTATAATTCATTATAACCACATTATGATTGCGAACGAAAATGATGCAGGCCATGTCTTAATTTCAACAAAGATTTATTTTAGTACTTTGCTGGCAACTGAATACTGTGCACTTAAATATGCTTATGTTTTGTTAATTTCTTCATATATTTTAAAATTCTAAATTTACAGATAAAAATTCATTAAATTAATGAAAACTTTACTTCATTGTTTATTTATATATTTAAATATCTGTGTATATCACTTTTGTGAAATTTGTATATAATATATAAAACCAAATCCAAAATTATATTCATACACAACCCAAAATTTGTTTCATATCATTCCAATGATTTACGTTATTTATTTTTTAATTTAATATATTATTTCAGATCTAGTAATTGCATATACATACAAACATATATAGAACATTTTCATTTTACATATCGTATAAAATACAAACAAAATATTCATTTATGGTTATTAAAATATTGTTCGATAAAAAAAAAATTTATTAAAATCAAATTGTTATGTAGCTTATACGCCTTAACGTGCAGTCATATATATATATATATATATATATATATATATATATGTAACATTTAGCTTATATTGTAATATTTACTTGATAAATATACATATTCCCATATTAGCTGTATGAAATTAATTAAAAAAAACTATTTGTGTATGATATAATCATGTAATCAAGTACACCGATACGTTTATGATAATTTAATTATATTAAAGTATATATAATCGTATGATAAAAATGCTCTAAAAAAATTACTTATACCTAAAGTTTTTGTTATACTCTTATAATAGTTACGAACTTATAGCAAATTAAATGAAATTATTGAAACTAAATATAACCGAAATAAAAAACATATTAAAATTTAGATTAGCTACTATTTTATTTTTAATTATATATTTACAAAATTAAAATTATTTAGTGGAATCAATTAATTTTATAAAATATAGAACACTGGATTACAGGTTGTCAAGGATTTAGAACTGAGCCTGTCTTGTTGAAAGCTCTACATATCGTGTAAGCCCATGTTTCATGAAGTAACACCGAAATATCTGTTGTGTCGCTAATCAGGGTTTTCCAGATGCAGGCTAAACCTTTTTGCCGTCCTATTCTTTAACACATTCATGAAAATGTGCAATGTAAAATTGACCAAATACTTGCATTTATCAACGTCCCCGGCTGATTGTAACATACTCAACCCTTTATCCAAAATTACAAGGAATGTAGAATCAAAATGCCAATTTTCGGCTTATTGAGCCTTCACTTCACCTACTTAACTACCATAGGTAAGGTTAGGTTCCTTACCAATTTTCGCACAATAATGGCCTATATGTTAATTTCTTATAGGTAAATTCAAACAGTTTCAAATGGAAAGTTGCTGCCTAATAATAGGGTCTAATGAGTTTCTTGTATTACATTTCGTTCTAGTGACGATTCAAGTACTCTGAGATACCAGTTTTTAAGTATGAATGACAGAGTTTTGATGACTTTACACTATTCAGAAAGGTTTTAGCCGGGTATGGGAATATGTACATCGTGTTATTCAAGACCATTTGAAAAAACTTTAAAAAATTGGTTTTTAATAACTAACTTGGTACTTGATGCAAATTATCATTATTTGTAAAGTTTGTATAATAGGTTATTTTCACTTCAAGACAAAAAGGAAACCACAAAAGAAATCAATTTTAAGGGCTCTCATATTTTTCAATACGAAAAAAGTAGACGCGATTACATTAAAAATCGCTGCTGGTTTATAATTTTGAAACCTCTCATGAACTTCTCCAAAATAAAAATAACTGAATTATATAAAATCATTTTTAAGAATATGTAACGTCAGTGTTGCCGAAAATTGCGAATAATTTAAAAACCTTTGTCTGGCAATCATGACAAACAGCTGATTTGGAGACTTCGAAATTTTTAGTAACATTTCCGTTTTTCATTTTCTCTCTTTTCTTGTTTGTGATTGCTAGACAAAGGTAAGTAAATTTTAGTTTAATTTTTCAATCGTAATATTTTACTGTAATCATTAATCATGTTACAGATTTTTTAAGCGCAAAATAAAGAGTGCTATTTAAAATTGTCATAAGAGCATTTATATACTTATTTTTACAACAAGAAATTCTTAAAAAATCTTTATAATATGGAAAATGATAATGACGTGGAGCTGCCTCTTCAAAAAGGTTTAACATCAGCAGCCATACTTGAAGTTGGAGATGCAGATGGTGATGATAAAATCTCACACAAACACAATGAGGATGATGGTCAACATAGTAGACAACAGCAGCAGCCCAGCGCCAACATTACTCGAATAAAACAACTTAAGTTGCAACAGCTAGAAGAGTCGTTGCAGATTAGGGAGAGCTATTTGCGGGAAAAATTTAAAATCCTCACTGCAGATAGTGACGACGAGGGTATCGTGGAATCACATTTGCCTGAAGTTGGGCCTCAGCTGAATGCACATCAAGCCGTAGCTGATGAACAGTTTTCGCCACATGGCCAACCTCATCTACAGAGTACACCAAGGTTAGTAAATAATCCATCTCTTTATACCTTACAGATCGCTCCCACGCTTACGTCGTCTCAGCTAGCAGCGCGTCAATGCATACCGAGAGATTTGCCTACGTTCCGCGGCGATCCAGAAGAATGGCACATTTTTATAAGTGCGTACGAGCAAACTAAGCAAATCGCAGGTTTCTCCGATTATGAATGTCTAATGCGCTTACAGAGGTGCCTCATTGGTAAAGCGCGCGATGTAGTACGCAATATGTTGGTGTTGCCCAATATGGTTGGAGAAATAATAAACACTCTTCGTATGTATTTTGGACGACCAGAAATAATTCTAAATAAGTTAATTGAGAAAATGCGTCAGTTACCGCCTCCAAGGGGTAGGCTGGGCGATTTAATTGACTTTGCAGTCAACATTAATAATGTAGTTGCAACAATTGAGGCATGTAAGCTCAATAGTTATTTTAATAATCCACTCTTATTACATGAGTTAATAAGTAAATTAACTGAAGATATGAAGCTCAAATGGGCACTACATTCAGCATCAATAGCCGAACCTACACTTCGCGATTTTTCAGCGTGGCTCTCATCTTTAGCAAATGCGGCAAGTAGAGTAGCTACACCTTCTTTTTTAGATAAACCACTAAAAAAGGAAGGACGAGTGCACGTACATCAGACAGCTGAAATGACAACCACGGCAGTTAGGTGTTACATCTGTGGCGGCGGACATAAAATAATGGAATGTGAAATATTCAAGAACGAGCCTACTAATCAACGCTGGCGCATTGTCAAGGAAAAGAAGCTGTGCCGACAATGCTTAGGCGAGCATAGGCGTCGCTGTTTCAATAATAAAGTGTGTGGCATTGATGGCTGCAATGCACGACACCACCCCATGCTGCATTCTCGGATAGACCAATCTACGCCAGCAATATCTTTTACAGCTAACAATGTTTCATCGGATATAGTAGAACAAATAAGTTTAAGTCCATACTCAAACAAAGCGTTACTCAACAACCATAATTCATCAGTGAATAAAAACTGTTCATATTGCCGAATTCTTCCAGTTACTTTATATGGCACCAAAAGGACTATTAACACATATGCATTGATGGACGATGGGTCAACACTAACGCTTATTGAAGCAAGTCTAGCCGATGAATTGGGAAACGATGGTATCCAGGATGCGCTATGCATTAATTGGACAGGTAATATCAGTCGACAGGAAAATAACTCAAAAAGGCTCAACCTACAAATTTCTGCCAATGCTCCTCAAGCTAAAAAATTCCCATTGAAAAATGTCCGCACAGTAAGCAACTTACGCATGTCAGCAGAATCTTTTGCAGCTGATAAAATAAAACAAGGGTATCCGCATTTAGATGGCTTGCCTCTAGCAAGTTATACAAATGCTGTCCCCATGCTGATTATCGGCGTAAATAATCCAAATTTAATTTCAGCACTTAAGGTGAGGGAGGGTGGCTGGCAAGAACCCGTGGCGGTGAAAACACGTCTTGGTTGGACAGTTTTTGGTGGTGGTGAATTAAACCACCGTAACAACTTAAACCTACACAAATGTAGCTGTGGACAAGAAGCTGATAGGGAGCTTCATGAGTTAGTAAAGACATTTATAGTAAACGAGAATGTCGCGGTGGCTACCCCAAAAGCAGAATTACTTTCAGTTGAGGATCAGCGAGCAGAGGAAATAATGCGCAAGTGCCAGTTACGCGGAAACCGCTACGTTGTCAATTTGCCATGGAACACCGATACGGTCGAATTGCCAAATAGCTTGCCGATGGCATTACGTCGAGCGGAGTGCTTACGTCGAAAAATGCATGGGGACCCTGAATTGTGTCAAAAGCTAAAGGAACAAATCACTACTTTAGTCAGCAAGGGCTACGCAACTGAGTTGCCAGCAGAAGCAATTAACGAGCGAGGTGGGAAGATTTGGTATTTACCAATTTTTATTGTGCGCAATCTACTTAAACCGAAAAAGCATAGATTAGTTTGGGATGCTGCAGCCAAAGCTGAAGGAGTGTCACTAAACGATTTTTTGCTGAAGGGGCCGGATATGCTGCGACCACTTATAAACATATTATTAAATTTTCGTATAGGAAGAATAGCTGTCTGTGGTGACATTGCTGAAATGTTTCATCGAATTCTAGTACAAGAAGCAGATACTGATGCTCAGAGATTTCTATGGTTCAGCGAGACATTTAAAAATATTTGCGTTTATAAATTAAATGTAGTTAGCTTTGGTGCGCGATGTTCACCATATATAGCGCATTTTATTCGAAACCTGAACGCAGAAAGATTTATAGCTGAAAATCCTAGAGCAGTGTACGCTATTAAAAACAATCATTACGTGGATGACTTTATAGATTCAACAAATTCCATTGAACAAGCAATAGCATTAGCCGAGGCAGTTCGCAACATACATGAACAAGGTGGTTTCCATATGAGAAGCTGGACAAGTAATGCACCAGAAGTTTTAGCTGCGTTAAACGAAAATGGTGAACAGACGGGTAAGTCGTTTGATAATAATATCGACACACTTCCGATCGAAAAAATTCTCGGCATGTATTGGGACCCGAAGTCAGATTGCTTTAAATATGTTTTAAAATTCGTTCGTTTACGTCGTAATGTTTTTGCAGATGAAATTGTACCCACTAAAAGAGAAGTACTTCAAATTTTAATGTCCATTTTTGATCCATTGGGACTGGCAGCTTGCCTCACATCATATTTAAAAATACTTATTCAGGATATTTGGAGAAGCGGAATCGACTGGGATCAACCACTGGTACCCGATCTTATGGGCAAGTGGTTAGCTTGGGTTGCCTGCATGCCTATTTTTGCTAATATTTCTGTACCCCGTTGTTATTCACCATACATAACAGAAAGTTCATGTGATGTACAAATTCATACATTCGTAGATGCGAGTGAGTTTGCTTATGCAGCTGTATCATACTTCCGCATTAAAGATAAATATGGAGTAAGTACGAGGATCGTAGCAGCAAAAACCAAAGTCGCTCCAATGCGACCGATGTCTATTCCAAGAATGGAGCTACAAGCTGCTGTAATTGGCACACGACTTATGAATACAATATGTAAAGTACACACATTTGATATTAAAAAGCGTTTCATTTGGAGCGATTCCAAAACGGTGCTAAAGTGGTTGCGTGGTGATCCACGTCAATTTCAACAATTCGTAATGTTTCGCATTGCAGAAATTCAAGAAGCATCAACCGTCGAAGAGTGGAGATGGGTACCCACGAAATTAAATACTGCAGACAGTGCAACGAAAACAAAACAAAGTCCCGAATATGTGCAGCGGTGGGTCGAAGGACCAGAATTTTTGCTACAAGACGAGGATAAATGGCCAACTGAGGTGGACTTAGGTCCGATGGAGACCAGTGAAACTCGTGCAAAATTTTTATATCATCGCGAGACACAACCATGTTTCAATTATGAATATTTTTCATCCTGGATCAAGTTGTATCGTGCCGTTGCAAATTGGCTACTCTACATTGGGAAACTAAAGGCTCGTTGTGGCGGTTTCAATGCTACAAACGTTATTTTGACTGTTCAACATATTGAGCGCGCGAAGCTCTTAATATACAAAAGCGTGCAACAGGAACTACTTGAAGATTGGTCGACACTGAAAATGGGGAGAATAGTAGAAAGGAACAGTCCGTTATATAGGTTGCAGGTGTATATGGATAACAATGAGCTCATAAGAGTAAAAAACAGAGCGAGTAACTTTACGAATGAGTGTAAACCTCAAACTGATTTTATTTTCTTACCGCCAAAACATAGAGTATCGTACCTTATATGTGCGCACTATCATGAACGATTTTATCACATCCAACATGAAACTGCTTTAAATGAGGTCAGACAATTGTATTTCATACCAAAATTAAGACCATTATTCAAATCGATGCGACGAAACTGCAACGTATGTAAAATTTCATCGGCAATACCTCAAGCGCCGCAAATGGCCTTACTTCCCCCAGCACGACTAGCAGCTTTTCAACGTCCATTTACTCATGTGGGTATTGATTATTTTGGACCAATGGTGGTTATTGAGAATCGCAAAGCACTGAAAAGGTGGGGTGTTATAATAACTTGTTTGACTATCAGAGCCGTTCACATCGAAATCGCCCATAGTCTTAGTACTGACTCATGCCTAATGTGTTTAAGAAATTTTATTGCCAGACGAGGAGAACCTATCACCATCTACAGCGATAATGCAACGAATTTTCACGGAGTCGAGAACGTTTTAAGAAAGGAGTTAAAGAACATTGATTCCTCGGTTATGCAACACAAGCTAGCTCATCAAGGAATAGACTGGAAATTTAATCCACCGGCAGCACCACATATGGGAGGAGCGTGGGAGCGACTGATTAGAACAATTAAGACAGTGCTGTATCAAATTTCGCCATCTCAACGTTTTACGGATGAAAGTTTACGTACTGCATTACTTGAAGTTGAAATGATCATCAACTCGCGTCCTTTAACCTACGTGTCACTCGATAGTGAAGATGAGGATCCAATAACTCCAAACCATTTCTTGTTGGGGAGCGCTAATGGTTTGAAACCATTTTGTGATGCTAAGAGAATCGATCCAAAGATGTGCCTGCTACAATCTGAGATGTTTGCAAATCAATTTTGGCGACGATGGGTGCGTGAGATACTTCCGACATTAACGCGTCGCGGCAAATGGTTCAATAAAGTGAAACCCATTACGGTAGGAGACGTTGTGCTGATAGTTGATGAAACGGCTAAGAGAAATACTTGGGTAAAAGGCATAGTTATCGAGACAACTGTAGCGAAAGACGGCCAAGTAAGACGAGCTAAGGTCAAAACAACAAAAGGCTTTTTGGAGCGCCCTGCCGTAAAGCTGGCCATTCTGGATATCGGCAAAGTTGACGCAAACGACATTGGGGTCGCCTGCGGGGAGGAGAATGTTGCCGAAAATTGCGAATAATTTAAAAACCTTTGTCTGGCAATCATGACAAACAGCTGATTTGGAGACTTCGAAATTTTTAGTAACATTTCCGTTTTTCATTTTCTCTCTTTTCTTGTTTGTGATTGCTAGACAAAGGTAAGTAAATTTTAGTTTAATTTTTCAATCGTAATATTTTACTGTAATCATTAATCATGTTACAGATTTTTTAAGCGCAAAATAAAGAGTGCTATTTAAAATTGTCATAAGAGCATTTATATACTTATTTTTACAACAGTCAGTAAGAGTATATTAGCATCAACTTTTTAAAGTCATTTTAAAAAAGAAAAGTTCGTCATTTTCTCCATATCCTTTAGATGAAGAGGTGTTGTATAAAGTAAACATAAGAAAATATAAACACATATGAAAGCATACTCGAAAAGAATGACCTGCTAAGCGCCATCAATTATCCTCGTTAGTCGATTAGCTGAGACGTCTGTCATTTAGATAAACGGTTGCATACCTAAATGACTGTAAGAACCACTTATCGGATTTCAGTCTGATCAGCACTCCTCTCTATGCGCGTCTGCTCCGTGCTCACTTGTGCTGTCTCGTACATCAAGTACTGTTAGTGCGACCTTCAACTTAATCATTCCACCGGTAACACGATATATTTTCACGCTTTCTTCCTCCAACGGCCGCTTCAAATACCCTTTTCGTTAGAGCATCGTTATTAGTTATCACGATATGACCAAGCCATTAGATGATAATTCGCTGAATTATATCAATCTTATGATAAAACCATTTAATTCGTGATTCATTCGGATGCGGTAGTCGCCGCCAACTCGCATAGGATCAAAGATTTGACAAAGATATTTTATTTTGGAAACTCTCAGTATATAACTTAAGTTTTGTTTATTGAGAGAGAGTTCTATATCCCAATTGCCTACTGAGTCCATAGTAGCATCTATTGGTAATGATAATTCTTCATCTGATGTCCAATGGCGATATGTTTATTGTAATAATTCGCAGAATTGGTAATATTTTTATGATAAAAATGATATAATTTTATAGTTGTTTAAACCTAACTTATTCAATCTTTTACATATGAACAGATTGTAATAAAATGTTTTGACAATGTATCATACTTCAATCTTCATGATTTTTTTTATTTATTTTTTGTGTACTTTATTTATTATTTTTTCTGCGTGTTTATATTTTCTACGTTTGTAACGTTTACTATAACTAATTCAGCATTTTTTTTTGAATTATTTAATCTCATCAAAAAAAGTTATATTAAAGTCTAAAATTATTATTTATTTAAATTTTTTTTTTCGAGCTATAATGCTTTTCCTAACTTCTCCTAAATATATAATTTTTAAAACGAGTAAGTTAAAAACACATGAATATTATTTGAACTTTTTTGAAATCGCCTTTAATTGTACTTTTACAACACTACTAATTCAGATGATCTCTTGAGCAAATTGGCAACCCTATAAAACTGCTGTTCTCAACAGATGCGAAACAAAAACAGTTGCAAAAGATTAGAATGTTTATGTTTTTAAATAAATTAGTATAAGTATTTAAAAATAAAAGAATATAAAATTAATAACAATAATTGTGTTGAAAGTGGTTAAAGTGCAACGTTGAATATTAATGTTAATAAAGTACAAATTCTTTACTGAATTGTGAAATACTATTCCTCAGGATTTATTTAAAATTTTTATTTGTCGTTATTGAATATATAATACAAGGTTCATACTTATTATATAGTAATTTGATATTTTCAATAGTTGTTGGTAAAAAGTGATTACGAGACGATAATAAAAATACAAAACTTTTTTTATGGCGTTTTCTTTTAAATAATTTTATATTGTGTGATGCTATGTTAAGTCAAAATATTTTATACATGGTTTCAATATATATATTAATGACATTTATTAATCATTTCATAATTGTATGAGAATGGGTTAATACTCTTAAAAGCAAGAGTTAGTAAAAACTGAAAAATCACACAAATATTTAATTGCAATTCGGCTATTTTTTGTTGTTGTTGCAGCCACTTTGTTCTGCCGTTTTACTCAATGATTTTTTTTCGAACGTGCGTTGTATTTCATCATCTGAGTTGATTATTTCTAAATATTTAAATTTTTATATAAACGGCATAGTTAAAAAACATTAAAATATGGCTATTATTAAAAATTTCCTCAACTAATTTGTGTTTACTCAGGCTAATATATTATATACATGCGTATGTATATTAAACATATTCTGCTTTACAGTGCATGTCGGGCATAAGCCTTTTTTACTATTTCAAATAATAATAACTATTATATATTAAAAATTTATTTTATGTGTTATTCACGCGTGTAGTGCAAATTCGAAATTTATATACATACATATCTGATTTTTATACTCTGTACTACTTATGTATATAGTAGTACATAAGATCTGTTCCATATGGGAACTCTATTTATCTATACTAATTGAGTTTGTCTTTGCTTTAAGTGGTGTTAAGCACTTTTTAAGTGCTTTCCTGAATGTTAACTATTTGATGTGTTCATAGATGTTATATTACATATACATAATTTTATGATATATTATTGAAAGAAATAAAATCGCTTATAAACTAGTTATAGGTGTTAAGCCTTTAATCTGATTTTTATTCAACAAATTTTTTAGAACAATAATCCATCAAATAAAAAAATTGTAAAGCATCAATTATTAGGCTTCTAATAGATTACCGAATAATATTATCTTCGTATTTACTTCCAAATCTTAAGCCACTGATGTTTAGAACATTTTATCTCAATTCCTCATCATCTTAGGCATTCACAGGCTTGTGTGTGTAAAATCTGTCCTTTACTATATAGCTATATCTTTCTTAATCTATATATACATCTTTCTGGCTCCTAAACTTCTTGACTATTATTTCTGTTTATTCCAGTTCCTCTTAGCAGTAAAGACATTGTTAGAATGTCGTTCTATATTAATTTTGTAGCTCATTGCATTCATGGGATATACAAATATCTGACGATGGTTTTTCTGGATATAGTATATTTTACTCTTTATCATTATTCTTCTTTCTATGTGTGACTCATAAGTTTTTTGGACTGTTATTATTTCAAAAATAATATGTTTTCTTTAACTGCTTTTGTTATTATTCATGCTTCAGGTCCATATGTAGCGATAGCCTTCATGATTGTGTTATACATTTTTTTGTTTCCTTGAGTAATACTCTCATTAGATCAATATTTATTAGTATTATTAATATTATTAGTATTGTAAATTTGTTTTGTATTATAAACTTACATACGTTAAATCTGCCACTCTAGTAAATCTGCACGTTTATCCACGTCAAAATTGTATCGATCAATATTTTGTCTAAATTAGTAAGATTAAATGAATATTTTTTTTTGCTTTAGTGTATTGCATTGTTTATAGTTAGTTAGCTAATCTAACGTATAAAGTTTCTATCATTTCGACCTGGCATCTATGTCTTCTTAAGTAATTTTTAAAGAAAGAAAATTTTTAATCTAGTATCTGTGCGATTTATTATTCTATGTTAGTCCTTCGTTTTTTATATATTTTTTTTATTGTAACCATTGGTGGTCGATACAACGATAGAATCAAATTTTCAAAACGGAAAATTCGTAAATCTCCTTTAATTTATAATTGTTGTTGCTGCTGCTCAGACATCATACCTTGTTTAGAATGTGATAGGAATAGGCGACACTTAGCCGTCTGTACAGGAAAGGAGCTTACTACCAGTTTATTTTGATAAAAAATAACTTTTTATGAATGAATGGCAATTAGAGTTCACTTAATCCGGGGGTTTTAGTTTCTTATAACGGTATATTTCGTTCAGTAAATTTTATTGGTTGTTGTATTGCCTTTTTAGTTAAATAGTATAGCATAATTATTACTAATATAAAGAAAGTGATTAATTATTTTTGATATTCATTCCTCAGTTTACTTATATCTTAATATTTCCTGATTGTTTCCATGAACTAAAGTTTTTATTGTAAATATTTAGTGCCTAATTTGTGAGTTATATTATTATTAAATACTTTACGAAAATTCCAATAATTTCTATCATTGATAACGGCCTACTTTATATATAAACCGTAGATTTTAATCGTAGAGCTGATAGCATGGTTGAAGTAATGCAAAACTAAATGTCGACATATGTTTGATAAAAACTTATACGGGTATACATGTATGGATATATACATAATATATTTTTATTTTTTCACTTGAAAATGAATAATTAAGTTCGGTATTACTATACGACCCTGTATAGTGTTTAAATACCTTCATAACGTTGGTTGTTCACAGCTTCTAAATTTTGATTTGTTTTGTTGACATTTGAATGCTGAATTGTGGCGTTATCAGTGATTCATTGTGCCAAGATTAAATTATTATTCAATTAAAAAATATGAATGAGTTAGTAATTTTTTTTTTCACTTTAGAAAATAACGTCACTATACAAACTTGGACGGCTGCCATACATTCCCGGGAAAATTCTGTACCTGCGAGGGTCAAAATCCAAAAACAACTGATAAATTAGATTATTCTTATAATCTCAAAAGTACTCGCCGAGTACATTGAGATAAAAAAACTCATGCAGAAAAATAAAATATTCATTTAAAAGATTGTAAATTCGGTCAGTTTATATATCAACTTCGAGGCATTGACTTCATTTGTAGACAATTTTATTGTATCCTACTAATTATTATTAGAAAACACCCGTGAGTAAAATAAGTATATCTATCATAAACAGAATATTTAAAAAATATTTTTTTTTTCAGTTATTCAACATGAACACAGAAACTGAATTTCTTGATTCCTATAAAAAAATAAAGACATCCTATAAAAATGTTATGGCACAAATTGACATCGCTATTGATCACGAAGAACACGAACGCCTACAGGAAGCAATAAATGCATATGAATGCTGCATACAATCTATTGAGGAAATTTTTTCAATACCAGTTGGTATACCAGAAGACATTGATCCGGTCGAGACACAATGGAATGATGCATGTGCCATAATACAAAAGCTTAAAGGTGCCAAAACAGAAATGATATATCGGCAAAGGGTATTGAGGAATAAGATTTCTCCTATTGATGTTAATGCTGTAGAAGCAGCATTAGAAGAAAAGGATGTGACAGATGAAAATGATGTGGCAGAACCTGCAGCTAAAAAGAAATCAGTTTTATTAGATAACCCGCCCACACATTTTGATATCAATACTGCTAGCGGTGAGCGTAAAACCTATAGAGATATAATAAATGGTTTACGGGAAGTTATTGCAACGGAAAATAGTGGTGTCCAGTTTGATACATTATTTCAATGTCAAATTAAATTGTATAAAATAGAGCCCGATGGGGTCGTTACATCGGTAGCGGTAAGTTTATTAGGGTTTTTTTATGAATTATAATTAATATTTGAATATTTCTTCAATTTATTTGAGAAATAATATGAGTATTGCGAAAACTGAACAATTGATATGAATTTGCTAAAAAGACTTATTTCATTTACCAAAAATGTTGACAGGTTTCTCATTTCAAAAATAGACTTAAACTCAGATTAATCACAGGTTTCTTAACTACCGCTTTTCAAAGTGTGAAATGCAGAGTAAAAGTTCTGTCTATCTTATCTGCTTATGTTCTGCGATAGCCAGAAAAATAGTTTAGTATCAACCAACCAACCTTGAACCAAGAAGTTATTATTGGGTTTATCAGTAACATAATTTGTCCGTGTAAGCTTTAAGGACTCGCTCCAAAGTTAACATAATAGATCAGTTGTTGTTGTTTTGATAACTCGTGGAGATCTATATAGTAGACAACACGAAAGAAATTAAAGATTCGAATATATGGGTTAGGATATCGTTAGGTGGAGGAAGTGTGAAAGTGGAAGAAATTGTTTGGGAATAGGAGCGATTTAAGGATGAGCGGGAGCTTATATACGCTAAAATTTTCGAATAATTTATATTTTAAATAAAACAAAGAAACTATATTTAGTCTTATATTAAATAGATTTTACAATTTTTTTACTCTTATTATATTTTTATTAAAAAGCATTTAAATATATTAAGGCAATAAGCAATGGTTTACTTGCTTGAATATTTATTCACATATTTTTTTATTACTTCTTATTATAATATAAATAATTTTTTTTTAATATTTTTATAAAGGGTAATATACCAATGTCCTTGGTCATGTGCACCATTGGAGGCAAATGGAAATATTTGAATAACATTTTTTTCATTCAATGTCCATTAAATACAACGGACACTGCAAGTTCAACAAATAACAACATGATTTGGTTATATCCACTAATACCAACCGTGACGAATTGTTATCGCACAGATTATGGTGCATTTATTTTTCCAGATCTTGAATTAAATATACCAGGAAGCGCATTTGGCATAATAATTATAGAAGAAACAGTAACAGTAGATAGTGATGAGGAATTATCCGATTTACAACAATTTTTCTTGGATTTATTGGAAGCCATACTTGCTGGCACTGTTGAAAAATTACAGCAACCAAGTAGTTCACGAGTACCACGTGACACGAGCCAACAAGTGTCAATGCAAATTGTTAATGCCGCGAATTTTGTTGCCAAATATCTTATAAAGGGTGCAGAGAAAACTGGCGATATAATGGAAAAGACTACACCATTTATAATATCAAAAATGAATCCTGCACCACCAGATACACCACCTGTTTCGTCAACTGTACAAACATCAGTAGAAGTTGCAAAGAACGTTACCAGCGTGGCAGCTACCGCTACTAGTTGGGTGGCTGGTAAAGTTGGATCCGCTTCTTTGGCTTTGGGCAGATATTTAGCACCACATGTACAAACACAGGGTAAGAAGCTATTACAGAAAGGTTTTGGTTGTGATTCCGCTGAAGCAAATAATAAAATGGAAGGTGCATTGGTTATTGCAGCTGGTGCTGTTGAAGGATTTAGTACAATATTCAATGGTCTAGAAGAGTCTGCAAGAATATTAGGTGGTAACATAAGTAACAATTCCGTAAAAATTATAGAGCATAAGTACGTGCCAAATTATTCGGAAATAATGTATTGAATATTTTATTCGCAATGTTTCCTTTATATATTTCAGGTATGGGCAATCAGCTGGTAATGTAGCTGCTGGCACATTTGATACAATTGGGAACGCTTTCAATGTTAGCCGGAACGTTAACTATGTGACACCAAACGGTATTGTTAAAAAAATGGCAAAAAATACGGGAGCTGCTGTCGTTATAGATTTGGGCAAGAATGTTCAACAGGAATCTCAATATGTACCCGCAGGTTCACTCTATCCGGATTTACGCAGCATAAAAGAAAAATAATACCAAAGATATTATAGTTCATTCCACTTAACACCGATTTTAATATAAATACTATGAATCTCTAGACATATTTATATTATATTCACTTATTATTTTTTTATATATTGTTTTATATTTATCATATAGATTATATGTATGGATGTATATTTATTTTAATTTTAAATTTCATTTTTACAGTATATGATTAGTGAATCTTAAATTAATATATACATAAATATAATTAAAATAGCGACTGTGACACACAATGTTGTCCGAAAGTATAGTTATATTAATTATTTCTGTATATTATATTATTTCTGTTTAGTTATATTAAATAATAATGTTGTAGTTTTAAAATAAGGTGACATCAAACTTATATACACTTAATAAAAAAAATCTCAACTTGTTTATATGTTGCGTCCAGACTTTATTTCTGCGGAAAGGAGAAACTTTAATTTGTTTCTTATATTCTGCGTAGAAACCAGTATTGCTTTTCATACAAATTCGTTGAAATAATAAATCTTTATTAATGGTTCAACTGCTATTATATCAAGCAAAAGATCCATAAGGTACTACTTATGGAATCATATTTCAATACAATCAATTTGTCCATTCCCACGTTCTTGAAAGAAAGAAAATACATTCCCATGTATATGAATAGCTGATAAATTTAATACGTTACGCACTCTATTACAATTTATTGTATAGAGCTATGTAGATTTCTCAAATTTAGAAATATAATAACAGTGACATGAACGGTTTTCCAATAGTGTCACTAAAGTACTATACATTCTCTACACCATTATGGAATATTTTCTACTAAAAAGGCATGTGAAAAAAAACGAATGAGAATATGCTGTATACCACTACAAAGAATTCAAAGATTTTTCCACTAGAAATTTGCTGAAGTCGCTACATTTTATAGTATACAATACATTTACTCCAGTTGTTAGATTGTTATATCGTTCCAGATTTTTCCCCCTCTAATCAGTACAGTTTTCTATTTGATGAAAAAGATTTATGCATGCTAATTTATAGTTTGAGCTCAAACTGCTTTTGCTTTCAAAAACATTAATTATAATATTTTATGTTCCATTGCCAGATGTTTTGATAGTTATATTGAGTTTAGTTTAATTAAAGTTTATATATTTATTTTTTATAGCTTTTATTTATATATATATGTATATATATAGAATAACTTTTACAATATATGTATATAAATGATTAGTGTTACAATAAATTAATTTATTTTTGACTATGTTGTAGTTTCGGTTTATTATATTTTGCTTTTTTCAATACTATGAATAAGAGAAATACATAAAAGGAACTTCAGATTCATTTTTTATTTAATTTACGACACCAATGAAAAATTTTTTAAAAAATAATGCAAAAAAATAGTTATTAATTTAATAAATATTTTTACATAGCGTATGGCACACATAAACATTATTATTTAACATAAATTCTTATAATTTAAAGTTTTAATAGAACATAATGTTAATATTATTAACCAAAAATTTTATTAATTTTGATTTCTCTTTAACAAAACACATTGTATTGCATATAAAAAATAACTAATTTATATTAATATAAAAATGAAAAATATAATATAACAACAAAAAAATGGAATAAACAAATTATAACAATATATCATAATAAAAAATATTATTATATAAATAATAATATAATATTGAAATGAAGTTAAAGCATTAGATGAATTGAATTCGTACTTATAATAAATAAATACATTCTTATAATAAATTAAATTAAATCTTATAATGAATACAATTCGTCATTATGAATTTAACTCACACTCATTCACAACTCATTATAATTTAATTTTTATAATTGATTGAATTCATTCTTATAATGAATTATGATATAAATTCATTTTTATAATAAATTGATTTATTCTTATGATGAATTAAATTTTTTTTTACAATGAATTAAGATAATTTTTACAATGAATTGAATTTATTTTTACAATAAAATTATTTCATATTCACAATAAATTAGTCATTTTAACGAAGAATAGAATTCTTTCTATCCATAAATTAAATTCACTTTAACAATGAATTTAATTCATTTTAAGTATGACTAACTTATTCTAACCATGAAATAAATTTATTTTTTTGACGATGAAATAAATTAAAAAATTCATTCTTGAAATGAATTTTACTCATCCTTATAATGAATTGCATTAATTCTTATGATAAATAAAATGTATTCATAGGATAAATTTAACTCATTCTTATAATGAAATAAATTTATTCTTCTGATGAATTGAATTCATACATATGTTGAATTGTTGTATTCATCATTATGATGAATTGAATTCATACTTATGGTGAATTGTTGTATTCATCATTATGATGAATTGAATTCATCTTCATAAATTGAGTTTTTCTCTTAATAAATTAAAATCATTTGTGTGACGAATTGAATTCATTTTTATAAACAATTGTATTATGAATTAAATTCAAGTTATAATGAATTGCCCTGATTTTTTAAATTGAACTGTTTTTATTTTTATGATTCATATTAAATGATTTATCATATAAAATGAGAAAAGGGAAATTCAAAAAAGTTATTCAATAATAAATATATAATTTTACTTATTAATTATTATATAATATGAACTTGTAATATATGTTTGTGCCAGCAAAACATTAAAGACATTTACAAACTAATCTTAGTAATTATATTTATATGTAATGATAAACATTAAAATGTTTTATTCAGTATTCTTGGCATTTTAAACATTAACCAATTTTAAAGCTATATGTCTTTGAAAATGAGTTTATTCATATGGTTGGAGAAATAACAGTTTGTTATATAAAATACTTTTTACCCAAAAATTTTCATAATTCAAAGAAAATAAAAAAGTATTAAAATTAAAATTAAAGATACTTATAAATACAGATTAAGAGATTAGAGACTTTAGCAACAACATATTGTGATTTTATCACATAAATTAAATTATTGAATTTTTTGCTTTAATTTTAACTCATCAATATTTCTTTATTCCCTGAGAGAATTAAACCATAACATTTCTTACACAGTGTCATAATGATGAACCACTTAAATCTTTAGGAAGATGTGTTTCAATATCAACACGGCAAATTGGGCAATGTTTGTTTGTAATCAACCACTGATCAACACAATCAGTATGAAATAGATGCATGCAGGGAAGACGCCTGTAATAATAATTTCACGTATTACATATATGTGAAGAATTGCGCACTTTGCAATTTTAGCGTAGTTTACATACCTAACATCGTTTTCAATTTCAAACAATGACAAACAGATTGCACATTTTTCAGCATCTTCATCAGTTTCACTTGGACGACGAACACGCTTGTATTTATGCGGTAGAGTGGTACGTTCAATTATATCCTGCAAAATAAAAAAAAATATATCTACTTATTTATTTATTTTAAAATTTAAAATAAATGCACATATAAATCCTTATATAAACATTTAATAAACTTTTAAAAACTCATAAATTCCTATTTTTGAATTAAATAAGAATTAACCTCAATTATTTATAGCACAGAATAATTTTCAATAATGTGTACGTGTATACATTAAAGTATTTAAAAGCATATGCACATAAAAATGTAATATAAATTTAAACACAAGAATTTTAATAAAAATAAAAATATGTACATATAAATAAAAACATATTTAAATAAATAAACATAAATGTAAATAAACAAAAACAAATATAAAAACAAATGCAAATAAATATAAAAAATATAAATAAAAAACTGGAATATATAATAATAAAAGCAAATGTAAATAAATAAATACAAATATAAATAACTAAAAACGAATTCATAAGAAAATAAAAACAAATATAAATAAAATATATAAACGTGTATATAAAGCAAAATGCGAAAAATACATATAAAAATAGTAATGTGTAAGAAATACACACAAAAGTATGTATTTATGTATGTATAAATTTAAAAAATACGATGTATCATATTTATGTATACATAATACACATATGTAAAAATATTCATTTGTAATATACAAATACATAATATATGATATTATGTGTATATACATAGAAATATAAATATAATATTGCATAGTTTGTAATTAACTAAATAATTTATATACCAATGTTGCACCACGGTTGGGTCGTATACCAGAACCAAATAATATGCGCCGAGACAGAGGCGCAGCTAGCCCAATTTCTAAATGCAATGGTGAGTAATGATGATAAGCAGGATGATGATATGATGATCGACGACGAACTCCTGACATGTGTGGCCCATATTGATAATAATTCTGTTTGTTAAATAAATATTAAATATTGTAATTAAAACTTAATTGATCAGAAAACAAAATATTTGTATACGTACTGGATCTAGGCTTGATACAGGTCCATTACGCGTATGTATACATGAGCAAGCATTTGGCAACGGATAGCGGCCATGATAAGCCCCACCAGATAAATTTAATGCATTCGAGGAGAGATCAATTGGATGTACAGGTGCCATATGGCGTCTATGAATTTCTTGGGTATTTTGCTGACGATACCACAAATTTTGATGAACAGGATATGGAACAGGAGCATTATTAAGTGTATTTCCTGGTGGTGCAATATTATTTCTGTAAGCATTTGGATGTGACATTATATGAGGATGATCAAGTACTCCATATGCATAAGGATGAACATGATGATGTGGTCCCATCACTGGACCGTTATTTGCAGGTTGTAGTAACGTTGGTTGATGATAACGTCGAATTCCACTGTGAAGTGGTGTAAATTGATGCGTATTTGAAAAATCGATGGCTCCAAGTGGTGAAAATGTGCGACCTTCATTATTTGCTTGTGCCGAATCCGCTTCACCAATTAACAAGTCAGTTTGAGCTTCCTCTGCTGAATGAACTACAGCTGATGCAGCGGTAGTTTCTGCACTTGATATAAGAGTTTGAGGTCGAATACGAGAAAATGGACGAACAAGGAATTGATTTGTGAAATTACGTACTGGAACGTTGAGAGGAGAACGAGGTGGTGGCAATATTGGCACTGTCGATGAGAGATCAGATAGTGTCGGCTGAACATTAGTTGATATGTTGCGTGGAATACTACCGGTACTATGAGAAAAAGTTGGCCGCATGTAAGATATTTCATCCATTTGATTTTCAAGTTGCGCACAACGTTCTCTTAATTGAATGACATGCGGTAAAATTGAATTCAAATGTTCAGGTCGAGAATGCTCCATATTAGGTCTTTGCTGTGCTGTCAGAAACGTTGGAGGTGCTGGTGGTCTTACAGAAGAACTGGGTTCTTCTCGATAGCTTGGAAATATGCAAGGATATTCAAGCAGAACAGGATGTATATCATTTAAGTTATAGGAATTACCAGGCTCGTGATCCTGAGGTGATTGCGTATTTGCTTGCATACTGGAGTCATTTGGCATTGCTATAAACTCATCAAACAAATCATTAGTTATTTCCATTTCAGTTTCTTCATATGCTCCAACTGAATTCTCATCTGCACTAGTTAATTCGTTAATAGGATCGTATATAACATCATCATCTGTTGTTAAATCAATTGAGAGTATGGGCTCTCTAGTGGAATGTACAAATACCACATCATCATCCTCCCCATTCGTTGAATCAGATAACCAATCCAATTGTAAATCGGGAGCAGTTAAAACTGCACTTTCATCGTTCGTTGAAGAGTTAAGTGTGGCAGCAGTACTGCTAACATCATCCGAAAAATTAGTTGTATTATTTGAAGCAGTGGAGGAATCGGATCTCGCAGTATTAGGTGCTTCATCAAACGTATTTGGAAAATTGTAATTCGAATCGGTTGATTCTGTTTGTGTAACAAACTTGACCTGTAAACCTCGGTTATTAGTTTGCATACGTGGCTCTTCGGGTGATTGAATCCTGCTAGAATTTTGTTCATTTTGACCTTGCGTTACGGGTCTAAATTCAACAATACGTCCCGAAATTGAATATGGTACGGGCAACATTCCTCTATCTACTGGTCTTGGTAAGTTTTGCATAAATTCACTTACATTGTTATTAGTAGTATTAGACAAGTTTTCAGTTGAGGTAGTTTCGTCAACTGCACGTGATCCATTTACTAAACTATAAATTCGTGGTCGACGAATAATTGACTGTTGCTCATTTTCATGCGGCACACGATTATTAGCATCGCTGGTAACAAGCGTTATTTTTCGAATATTACGATCTCTGGACGGAAGACCATTGGAAGTATGGTTGGTTTCGTCTCTTCTGTGGACACATCCTCGTCTATCATTCTATAATTATACACAAAATTAAAAAAAAAAATTATTATTATATGTATAAAAAAAGAATAAGTATGTATAATTATATACCATATTAGAAAACTCCTCATCATCTGTGGAATCATGTAAAATAGTTGGTGGTCTTATATTTAAATGAGAATGATAAGCTTCACTTATTCTAGGTTGCTTAGGCAAACGTGAAGTACTTGCATTCGAACCCATATTTGTGTCATTAAGAGTAAAACAACTATGATCTCTATCCAGATTCATACTGCGACAATTTGCACAAACCCCGATTGGAGTTGTATTATTTCTTTGTAATCGTTGTCTTTGCAAATTTCGTATATCATGATTCCTACGAGATACCGGCCTACGAACATTAGATATTGTTGGGGAATTTACATATCTATACATATCTTCAACATCGTTTTCATCATCATCAGAAAATAAATAAAAAAATGGTCTCTGTGTAGACAATATATTTGAAGGAGATGATGATACACCTTGTGTACCGCTAGTACTAGGCTCATCATCTAAATCAACAATATGAGCTTCGGTAAGTATGTGATTAGTAAAAACTGCCCTGCTGTCTCTATTGATATTATTGTTATTATTATTGGTGGTGTTATAGTTAGAATTAACACAAAGTTTTTTTTTGGTTGGAGCTGCAGAAGTGGTTGTCGCAGTATTCGTAGTACATGTATTCGCAAATTGGACATGTTCAGTATCAGACGAACTAACGTCATCATTATACGATATGAAATTTGGAACAATTACAGAATCTTGATTTGTTTCTCTCTCTTCATTTGTAATAGTATAATCTGGTATTATAATCTCATCATTTGTTGTAGTAGATGTATCTTGTTCTTCCGCAATAAGTACTTCATCATTAGTTTGAATTGCGCTTGAAGCTAAATTAATAGCTTCTCTTTGGATTGGATCAATTATTGGAGGCTCTACATCTCTTTCTGTAGGCGGCATCAAATTTCCTGAGTTTAAAAAATGTTCTTGCGACATATTATTCATAATAACTGTATTCGCAAAAAAAGAATGTGGGTAATTTTCTGTATTATTTTCAGTCTTATTGCTACGATTGTTTTCACTTCCGGTGGAAGATGAAGCTATATTATCTTGATCTGACAAGATAGTCTCTTCTGCATTGCTGGAACCATTTTCAATTAATACATAGTTATGATCACCATTTATAAGATATCTTGTAACATCAATCGGCTCAATACTAGTGTTATTAATGTGTTCATTTTGAGATTGATTTGTAATTTGTTGCCTTCTATTAGAAGTATGGTTGCTTCCCAAATCTAAGATTTCATAGGTTGTGGATACCACACTAAATAAATTTTTGTTAAAATATTAGAAATTTTTTTTTTTTTTTTTTTTCGAAATTTGATATATTAAATTTAAATTACTGAATTTTTTAACAAATTACAAATGTATAAAAAACGTATATATTTTTGAACGGGCTAATTAGTTGTTGTAGCTCGAGGGGAACTGTCTATGCAGTTCAGTTCTTTTGAGGAGTGGTGAACGGCACTTGCTTGTCGAAATTGACGAGTGGCTTCGGGTCGTACTTTCTTGAAATTGGATTTTTTTATAATTCTTTTTAAATTAGTTTTAAAAAAAGAAAAAAATTCCACTGTTACCGCTACTTTAACTTTAGTGTATAGTATAATTATATATAGTTATATTCAGAGTAGCCCGTTCAAAAATATAAAAATAAGAATTGTTTATTTAAACAATAAACTATGAAAAATGTATAAAAATTATAAAAAACTTACACACTAGAGCTCTCATCTTGTATATCATCAGAGTTAGTTTCATTCACGCCACATTGGCATATAAGTAAACGGCATTTGGTACATCCGCTACTATCGTATTGGCCATTACCATTCTCTTCATATCTGTAAGAATTACCAGGTCCCAAATACCGATGGTGGGAATGTAAATTATGTGTTGGAATAATATGTGTAGAATTTGACCCCACATATGCTAAAGGGGGAGGATCATTTGAAGATGATAAGTCTTCAGCAACAGTTCCTGAATTCTGGTCCAAAAGTGTTGGTACAGCAGTTACTGTTGGATAACAAATATTAGGCGTAACAAAGCTGGCATCGTTTAAAGTGTCACATGGAGACTAAAATATATTATATTTTAATATAAAAGCAATCTATATAAATTTATTGTAGCATTTTACTAACTTGTATTGTAAAGGCTAGCGATCGCCGATTGGGAATAAAGTACATGTCACATGCAGAAGCTGAAAGAGTGAAATATTTAAAACTGATATTGAAGTTGAGAGTAAGATTCATATTTACAGCTTTCATTGTGTAACTCTAGTTCATTATATGTGTTATCAATATCATGGTGACGTCGTGAATAGCTCTCTCCGTCATTTTCCATTGCTATGTTGATGCGTAAAAATTTTGAACGAGGAATTTTCAAAATATCTAACAAAGTTCAAAAAAAATAAAATAATAAACGTCAAATTATTAAACAAATGTATATAGTATTTAACCAAGAATTTTTGAAGCAAAACGACGTACCTTACAATAAATCCAGTGACACATACATACAACTTGTTTTTTTTTTTTATGTGCAGTTTACAGCATTCATCAACCCATCAGCTGTGCTTTTTAAGCTAAAACAAAATAAACAATAGAGATACATAAGAAAATGAAAACATATGAACATATGGCAGAGCAGAGAGAACAGAGAAAATAAACACACTGATAAATATTTATACGCCGAGCTTATATACTTGTCCCACTCTATATATACAAAACAAATGCTACGCACTTTATTACAAAAAAATAAAAAAAAAATAAAAATAAGGAATGTGGAAGTTAATCAACAGACAATAAATAAGTTTGCTATTAAAACGAAGAAAATTTCGTACTAATTTAAAATAAACGAAACTGGTACATGTCTGAACATGAAACTGCATGTTTCAAATGCTTCATATTATTTTAAAAGAATATATATACACATACCTGCTGCTGCATTACCGAAGTGCATAACTATAACATAATTAAGAAAAAAAAAAATGAGATATACAAACTGCATAAGCTGACAAAAGTTTTTATGGAAGAAATTGTGAATAGCAAGTACGAAAAACAATTTCCGGAAAACGCAATAATGGACTACATGTAGACATTTTTCAAACTACATTTCAATTATTAGAACACAAACTCAATATATTTATTTTAAATTAATATTCGTTTAACATTATTATAGAATCTATTAATTTTTAATATGTTCAATTTAATTTAAATACAAATTTCCTTTTTTTTCCACGGCTAATTTTACAAAACTTTATGAAAAACTACAAACCCATCCGATCTACTGAGCTGATTGAGAATAACTGCAAAACTCTAATTTAAAGAGGAAAGAATAGGTGAAAAATGCAAGGTACAGTGTTGTAAAATGACTTTTTTTATGTGTAAGTTAACAAATAGTACAAAATGAACGATGGGATGACAAAATATACCTACCGGCTACAACTTGGCAATTTATTTAAAATGTGAAATACACACACATAAACACGAAAAGCTAAAAACTGTTGTTTAGCTTATACAATATATTATATATACTAAATAGAGCGCTGAAATTGTTTATTTATATTAATGCTCACACTAATTCAGTATTGCACACTCTTAAAAGAAATGAACTATATATTTTTTCAGAAAGATATGCTGGGCTACAAAATTTAATTTTATAAAATTATCATTATTATATTTTATAATATAATAATGATAATATAATAATGATTATTATATTTTAGCATTATCATATTTTAATGGACAACTTGTTTTAGTGGATTACCCACGTGGTGACAGACACCATTAAGCAATAGTGTTTTATAGAACATTCACACTGTGTCATTTTTAGTCGGTTTTGCTCATTATAATCACTAATGAGAATTATTTATAGCACATTTACTCTTTCTCATATAGGCGGATTTGCTCATTATAGTCACTAATGAGAATGATTGGTAAATCATCAAGAATCTCTTATATAAATGAGCTCATTATTAATAAATTAGCTCATTTAAGTCGAAAAATGTCGAATGCAACTTTTGTAAATAAATTTCCCACAAGAAATATTATTAAAATTTGAAATATGTGTCGTCATAAGTTTTATATATAAATTGTAAACAACAACAGCTGAGCTTTAAACATATATACTGAGAAAGTAAATGTTCAATCAAATCTTTGTTTTTATTAATTGAATATGTAATTGATATATAAAATGTATTTAAATGATTTATAATATTAATTATATATTTAATTTTTTTGTGAAATATGTAATTGTGTGAAGTTACAGCTGCATAAATGACCACATTACAATATGAGCTTTCATTCATTAATATAAATGAGCAAGTGCCTAAATGAGACAGTATGAATGTACTGTTAGACACTAATACTGGATTCGAATGAGAGTTTTGATTGTAATTTAAACTGTCATTACTAATTAATTTAATGTCGCTATTAATTTCGCTATTAATTCGCTATTAATTTTGATGTCGCTAGAAAAACAAGTTCATATCAAAAAGTTTTGTATGGGAATTTTGACAACTGAAATAAGAATTGAATCGTTGTTGTTGTTGTTGTGATTTGAATTAGTGCTATTGCACACTTTTATTTTTTTGTGGCTGGGGGACTTATCCATACCCCACACTAAACTTTAACTATACTAGAATCATTATCATTTATTTATTGAATCGTAATTTTTACAAAATATAGTTAACTGAACTGTCAAGTTGTGACAGTTCAGAGTAGTACAGTATAGTATAGTACAAACTTATGCTATTGTGAATCGTTTTGAGGAATAAATAAAATTATTATACAAAATGAAATGAAACTGATATTTATCATATGTTTAAAGTTTTATCATATGTATATATCAGAAGCTCAAAGTAAATGTTTTGTGAAAGTAATTAAATAGTGTGGACGTATGATAAATCTGACAAATTGTAATGATACGTTGTATGAATCAATTTTTAGTTGCTTTTGGATTTCAGATGTCAGTTGGAGATTTTTTGGTAGCTAAAATTACAATCAAAACTCTCATGTCTAAAATAAATCGAGGGTCGCCAAGCAAAGAACAAAAAAGATTAAATAAAGCTATTACAATTTTTTATATACATATATTAATAATTTTATTTGTAAGAATAATACATATAGTCAATCATATAGTATGTTTAGACTTTAGCTTAAGTTTTGCGTAAGTAAGTGATTTTGGTAGAAAAAGTGTTTAGGAGTCGAGAATTTTGAGAATTGTCAAACAAAAGAAAAATAAGAGAAAATTTTTGGTTTTTAAATTAGCATAGTTTATAGAGTTCATAGATTTCTATAAATCTGTTGTTATAATATTCAACCCTGAGGAAGAAATCAAATAAATTTCGAAACGTTGCGATATTTATATAGATAACTATATAAAATAAAAATAATATCCAACTTCAAGTTTTTTATTTGAAAATTTATAGAAGCCTTTTTACAATCAGAAATTTATAGTATATAGTATTTTTTTTTTGTTATTTTAAAGGAATTTGTAAAGTAGCACTACTTCATCATAACTATGTCAAGCCACACACATGTTTGATTACTGGGAACAAATTAACAGATTTTAGCTGCTTAGAAATTTTGATGCGACCACTGTGTAACTCGGATGTTGCGCCACCTGTAAAATTTTATTTCATAGGTGCAAAAATTGTCCGGCTGAAAAGGCGAGGATAATCGGCTAAATTTTTCGGTGATAAACCATAGAAGTTTTACACTGATAAATTTATGATGAAGCTATACAAAATGTAGCAGATGTCATAAATAGTAATTGCCATTATATATATATATATATATCATTGAAATTCATTATCAATTTACAAAATCTGTATTCAAATATGTAACAAAAAATGTGAATAGTTATTATATCATCCAATATTATTAGCACATTCAAGGTGAAACTTGTATATGTTGTAATAAAGGGTATTTATGGTAATATTAATTGCAGGATAGCATTGTTGATAGTTGGGTGCAAAGCTGTGCAACGGAGCATATATATTAAGATTGTTGTATATTATTTAATAAAAAAATAAATAATTATGGGCAGAATTACATTTTTCATTGCAATGTGCCTATATGACAAATTTTAGAATCCATTTAATAAATTGACATTTTTATAGAAAATGCAACTAGTTTGATTTCCATATACAAATTGTGAGAGAGTTGTAGTTTTCCCATTTTTGGAAAAAAATATAGGTAATAAGTGAAAAAGTGAGAGCAAAATAGCTTAAATAACTTGTCGAAAACTAGCTTGTGTAGTACATGCCTTAATTAACTGTTTTTTCTATGTGTATATATTACAGATTATGTTCTACCAGTACAAAATGAGAATTCGTTTAATTTTTAATATAAGTTTGTATAATTTGTTTTTATATATATAGTAAAATAAGAGTATTTAATGGAATTGTGCAACACTAATTACAAAATAAACAGAACTCATAAAACGTAATGAATTCTGTATTACAAGTGTATGAAATTATCTATTGAAAAAATCCAGGCACCTTGTTTGATTTGGCTGGTGCTTTGAAACTTAGTTTACACATAAATGGTAAAATTTTACATATCAAACACCCTCGCAAATTTATGTACACTGAGCGTATATGTACGCAAGGGAGATATTAAATATTAATTGTACATGTACAAGTATAAGAAAAAATATCCTTTTTCAATATGGCAAAGTGGGAAGTCTTACCTACAAAATAGTTTTAAACTTCTATTACGCATGCAATATTTAATTAAATTTACGTTTCTAAAAGTTTAACGTTGCTTTGAAAGTTTATTTTTTTTATGCCGTCGAGTACCATTTGTTGATATATGACTAATGCCCAACTGCATTGAATAATGCATTCTCTTTTAAAAAAATAGCACCGAACAAATAAACATATCATCAATATTTGTTACGCATCCCTCGTACCAAATAACATTTATTTATATATATTCGTTTACTTATATTTATTTTTAAAACTAAAAACAAATAATTCTATATTTTAACTTTATAAAATATATATGAGTAAATTTTTTTTGTTCTTTATAAAAGAATATTGTATATACATTTTTGTAAAACAAAATACATACTTAACACTTGCATATATGTGTCACTCCATACTCATTTCATGAAGGGAGCACTCTGAACTTTTAATTATTTATAATTGCAGACTATTTCTCAGCGAATTTGATGATAAAATAATATTGCTGCCTTCCAAAAAAAAATATTTAAACTAAATCACTTTTTATATATATTTATTATTTCTCACTGAGGTCTATGTAAATAATTGTATTTTTGTTTGTTATTCAATCTTATTTGCAACTTCCAAACACGTCACTCTACTTCGCGGAATCACAACATCAATGAACCACGGCAAAATACAGACTGAGCATATTTCTGATAGCTGCTGCAGCAGCACTGCAATTTTATTTGAGTTAAATTAGGAAAATGCAGAGTTGTTCTTACTTTTTTTTTAAGAAAAATTCGCTATATTTGTAATTACAATATTAAGGTATGTACTCCATTGCGGTGTCCGTTCGCTATGCATTTTGACCTATGACATAACTATATGCTAGGTATATTTGTAAATGCAAGTCATAAAATCATCAAATAATGAAAAGTTGTGTTACTAAACACCAAAAACTATTATCACAGTATAGTGACAATTTTATAGTACTTTAGGTTTACACTGCTTACTTAGTAAGTTACTTAAAGGTGCATTCATATCAAAGGGAACGCTTGCGAAACAACAAACTTTTGCAAGTGCGATCTTAAAGGTACCTTAAGTAACTTTAAGATTTTATCGTTTTTATTGACATAAGTTACTTATTCAATGTTAAAGAGATTTTATGTGTCAGAAAGTTCTTTGAAAGTTTTGAGAGAAATTCTCTATGTTTACAAAAATTTTACTCAATAATATATCAAACAAAAAATTATATCTATAATTAATATATTAAATCATTTATATATAATATATCTATTTTATAAATCTATTACATATTCAATTAATAAAAACAAATATTTTAATACTGACATTCTCAGAAAGTTTGTTTACAGCTCAGCTGTTATTTGTTTACATTGTACATATTAAATTTTTGCTCTAAAATTCTACATCTCCTTAAGCCGCTGTGTAATAATAATCACTTCAACCTCAAAAATAGAAAGTTATTATTTACTCAAATACTTAGGCCAGCACTACTGTACGGATGTGTAACTTACAGCATAGCCTCAAATACTGCTATAAAGCAATTACAGATAGCACAAAATCTGGCTTTAAGAAGACTAATTAAGATTCCTTGGTATATTAGAACAACAGACATGCATAGAGATCTAATAGTACATTCACACTGTCTCATTTAGGCTGTTTTACTCATTATAATCACTAATGAGCATGATTTACAATAAATCAGCTCATTTTAGACCAAAATTGTCGAATGCAACCCTTTAAAAAAAATTTCCCTGAAGGGAAATGACCAAAATTTGAACAAACAATAATTGAGCTGTAAACAAGCACACTGAAAAAGTGAGCATTAAATACAATCTGTTTTTATTAATTGAATATATAATTGATATATAACATGTATATAAATGATTTAATATATCAATTAAATATTTAAATTTTTAGTGGCAAAATAATTTCAGGCAAATGCACACGGTTGACTTGCCAACGCCAAACAGATTTGCTACGCTTCTGTATTCAGCCGACGACCCAAGGCAATACAAGCCAATGGCAATTCTCCTTTCTAAAGAAATTGAAATTTGAAAGGTTGTATCTTTTTTCTGTAGTCCTTTTAATAATTCACATAACTCCTTAAAACATTCCAAACTCATGCGAAAATTTTCTTTGAAAAAATTTCCCAGAATTTCTTTGTTCTTTTCTGAAAAAAAATGTTAATTTTAAACTTTATTTAATAATCATTACTGGTGGCACTAACCAAAGTCCAGCACTTCCTCCGGTTGCTAGCAATTATTGTAGAAAGTATTGCTATTTGCTTTTTTCTTATTTCAAGTATATTTTTTCGGTGCATTGCACGACATTTACGATATTCAGAAATTGCTTTCTTTGTTTCTATTATTAATAATTTCACACACATTATATATTATGTTTTTTAAATTTTCCGCGTTTTCCATTTTAAAATATTTATTTTACACAATACCAAAATTTTTCTTTGTTTTATTTGTAAACAAAAGAAAGTTCATTTATAGCTTTTTTGACATATAAAAGTTCTAAAAGCTGTATAAATGAGCTCATTATTATGTGAACGCTTCCTCATTTATATAAATGAACAAGTGCCTAAATGAGATAGTGCGAACCTGGTATAAGAATCAACTCAGTGAAAAAGTATATCAAGGACAAAGCCCTAACGCCGCTCTAACAAACCTTAAGTCCATCTCAGGACGCATAGGAAGATATGCTGATCTACGGTCCGTCATCAGTTAGAAAATAAATAAATGATAATGATTCTAGTATAGCTAAAGTTTAGTGTGGGGCAGGGATAAGCCTCCCAGACACAATAGAGTAAAAGTGCGCAATAGCGCTAGCTCAAATCACAACAACAACATAGCAAATTTATGACAAATATTTAACTGGGCAGATAGGGTAGCAGTTCTTTCTGTACTGAAATCTTTAATAAAAGATGAGAACACTCAGCGATATGCAGGCATCAGGCATCTGTATGCAATCTGGCCACGTTCCGAAAAAAAGAAATCAAAAATTCTCAATGAGATACCCCGTAGAGATATCGGTCTTTTGGTAGATCACTGCAAACTAGGGAACCATGCTAGAGGATTAGGTCTCCCTTTCAATCAAATCTGCCGCAGCTGTGGAGAAGACGATGAGAGTGCCTCACATCTGCTAAGTTTTTGCCCAGCTCATGCACGGCGATGACTTAATATTTTAGGAGCCCCCTTTCTTAAAGACCTGGACCAATTACAGGACCTGACACTAAATCGCATCTTATGTCAGCTAAAGGTTCTAAGTGGTTTTAGACCCTGATTTTTTGCTATATATACGGTAACGCAATGGGCTAATAGGCTTAAATAGATCCAGGGATCGCCGGTATAAGTTAACCTAACCTAGTAGGTTTTACAAAAGATTATAAACTAGGTATATGTTTATTAAGTACAAAATGATCATGTTCAGTTTGAATAATGAGAAGGTAAATATGTATAAATATTTTAATATCGATTAACTATTAAACTGTGCTATTAGAAGAAAATGATTATATTAATTAATATTTCAATTTAAATTAATGTGTACTTTAATAATAATGATAACTTATAAAAAACTAGCAAATTCTAGCTCATACATTTCTTAAATACATAGCTTTTTATTCATTATGCTGTTATTTATATTCAAATTCCTTTTATTTTAAATATGTGAAAATTGACAGGCTATCCTACTTACCACTATCTAATCTTAGAGTAATCAGTCTCCGCACGGGGAGGTACGCAGATCTTAGATCAATCACTGAATAATTATGAAGCTTATGAGAGGTATACAAATTAGTCAATGAGATGGGTGGGACCCTGTAGTACCCCCAGTTATCAAAGAGTAAAAGTGCCCAGTTGCGCTGACTCGAAAAAAAGAATCAACATACAACATACATTATTTATATTCAAATTCCTTTTATTTTAAATATGTGATTACTAAACTTAACTTAACTAAACTTAATAAATTACTATTTTTTTTCAACCAAAACTTAATTCAACTTCAATTTATCATAAAATATTGAAAATTCAAATATTTGTCAACAGGTTTTCACGGAAATTAGATCTGTTTATTAATTTTCTTATATATGTTCAAACTTAAATTTTTACAAAATACAAAAACAATAAGCAAAGTATTACTCGTAATATGATATTAATATGATATCAATATGATATTGTGATATAACTGTAACAAATTACTTTGGATTTGTTGCAATTCACATTAATCTTACAATTTACACTTAAGTATCAGTTAAATTAATATCAACACCATGATTCTCTTCAATTAATTATAAAATATATGACAAATATTTGAAATTTTGGTGATTTCCCTTATGAGTAATTAAGTTAACAAATTTATTGACTTAGATCAGTTTTGAGATTTAAGTAATGCTTGTGAAATTATCCTTTAATAATATTCTTTTGTATCACTCTTAGTAAAATTTTTATTCTGTACTATGCATTAGTATTTAGTAAGGCTAAACCATATTGAAAGAAGAGGGTTCAATTCGGGTAACATACAAAACCGGTTGGCAAAATACTGCTTCGAAAAGATTTCCAATTGAATAAAATATATAATATATTAGAGATATTAACTTAGTACCTATTGTAAGAAATATAATTTTTTCAATTGTTACAAAACAATGCTAACTTAAATGTAATACGAATGTCAAACAAAGTATATCGGAATTAGTTTTTTTTTTAGTTTAATTAAACGAACAAATATTTTCTTAATCATACCTTTTCAAACATTATCATACATTTTTGTATCTGGTAACTCTGTTTTTACTACAGTCTAAAACACGAGTACACTTTTTCCTTTGGATTTCAGCAGCAGCACTGTTTGTAAACTGTCAAAACTTCTGCGCCAATTATGTTAAAAACTTTTGAAAAAATTTCAGTTGTAATTGCGTCGCCGCTGGAGTTGAAGTAGTATATTTTCCAATTGGAGTTTAGTGCGAGTGAAGTGCGCAAGGTGTGGTTGACAAGTCGAATATAATTGCCAAAAATATATAAAAAGGTAATATAAAAAAGTTTAAAATAAAATACAATTTGCTTTGTTATGTAAATAATCAATAATAAAAAATGCAATTTGAGAAATCAATAAAGAATACTTAAAAGTGAAAACTGACAAAAAAGAGCAGCTGACATCATGGATCCCAAGGGAAATACATAAAAATAGACGCTCTGTGTGATGGAATCTGTATGAGTGACGGCAGTTGTGCATTTTTATTGCATCTTTTACGTGCAAAATCTCATTGTTGCATGTATATGTTAAATTGTTTATAAAAACATTTTTGTATATGTGCTCACGTATCATATAAGTAACAAAATTAAAATTTGAAAAAAACAAAAAAAATTAGATTGATGCGCCGTCATTGTGGGTCCATTTTTAAAAAACTACATTTCATATATTTTGGTTAAACCAGATTATTCAAAACTCTTACCCAGTTAGAACTAGTTTCAGTTTCACCAACATTGGCAAGTCCACTTTGTTAGCGTACCCTAAAAATACCAACTGCTATACGGTAATTGTAAAAGGCAAAGCAAAAACAAATAAGTTGTTGCTTTTTTTTTTGTTTTTGGAAGTATGAGGTAAATTATCTGCAGTTTCGTTGGGTATTTTTTTTTTTTTTTTGAAATGTGTCTGGCTATCTGCCACTAATTTAATATTGGAATAGCACAGAGTGAAGTAGCTAGAGTGATTCATCATCCTATGAAGTCAAGTCAGCCCATAAAAGTCACCCAATGGAAAAATGTATGCTTTGTTAGAGTGCCATTTTAGACGACAGTGTGCGTACTCCCTTTAAAGCTTTTTATAACCAATGTATGCTTTATATGTTTGTGTGTGTGCTTGTATATGCTTTTGTGCAGTTGTTGCCATTTATATTCTTAGTTTACTGTTAAACCAAAATACTTTACCTATTCCACTTGTACGTGCATGATTCAGCCGAATGATGCCACAATGTCGTGTACTTGCTATTGCCTCTGCCTTTGTTGTCTGTACTTACGAATTTTACATACACTTAGCGCGAGAAGTATGACTACGCTTTGCTATTTGGAAATTGTATGGAGTTTTTCAAATAATAAAAGTTAAATAACTTTTGAAGAATTGTAGTTTTCTTATGGTAGCTAATACAACAACAAATAAAACTATGTATTTAAGTTTTTAAATAAAAAGTAAAAAGTATACAAAAAACTTATTTATTTGATGTAATCATTTTGGTTGCTTTTGTTATGCACAACACTGTATATATTTAATTATATTGAATATTGATAAGAAATTAAATTTTTGTAAAATTTTGTACAGTTAAAAAACAGCACAACTTATTCTAAAAATTCTGCAATTGTGAAAAAAGATACGGAAATACGGAAAATTTCTTTAATTGTTTGGCAAAGAAATATTTTCCTCAGAAATTTTCAAGCCTAACGGTGCATTTATTCACCAATTGGTGACTGTATTTTCTTCTGTCCTTATTTTATTTTCTTATTTTATTACGAAGTAAATTTGTTCGAGCTGAGTTGAAGAGTACAGAAACATTAATTTCATTTTGAACTATTTAAACATAAGTACTATGTACAAAAAAAAAAAAATTTGAAAAAATAACGATGGTGTTGCGTATACTATAGGGTTTTTTAGTGTAATACTATTGGTATTATAGCATAATATATATAATAAAAATATAAAAATATAAAAAATATAAAATTTAATTTACTGTAGGGATTTATTTAAGTTGACAATTCGAAATTGAATTTTTTAGACAATTCGAAATGGAACTAGTTATTAGATTATTAATAACTTATAATTGTTAGATTCGCCACATTAAGTAATAGGAACATTTGCAATCACTGATTAATTATTTTTATAAACATTTCAATCTACATATTATCTTCTTATTATTACAATGAGAATAAATAACACAATTATTAAAATATACAGCACAATTAATTACTGAAGAACATAGTATTGCTTAGTGTACTTCATGTGTATATTATTACTATAAGGCACTACGTCTTCACTAGCAGGCGTTTTAATGACTTTTATACTAACAACAAATGTGTTTGCACTACTGCCAGTGCTTCCTGACTTCAACATAGGTAAACCTTATATATTTGTTGCAGGCCGGTATTATATTTTATAAGAAATTATTTTTGAAATTATTTTAAGGAACGAAGAAATGCGTTATAGGTGGGATCGTAGTTACCAACCTGCATATATTACTTGATAGATTATGGCAACAGAAATAACAAAACCATTATTTGGTATTTTTTAATCTTGCTATATCTTAGGTTTCGAAATTACATGTCTGGGTTGAGTTTGTGTAAAAATATGCTAAATTTTTTACAATAATAATTAAAATTGAATTCTTTTGAAAACATTAGTATTGCTACATAGTTTTATTGTTAAAGAAGATTTGTGCATTTAATTCGTGTCTAATATTTGTTCTATTTTATGAAAGTTTTTTTTTACAAACTTGTTTAGCGGCAGCTTTTATCCTTTCATAAAGTCATATATAAAATTTTGGGATACAAATGGTGTAACATATTTTATACAAGTCATTTGTTAACTAAAAAAATCAGAATCGTATTTAGTAAGATTGTCGATTACCATGATTGCCGGAATAACTTGCTATAATATTATCACGTCTGGTTATTACAGCTCCTAATGTACATGTTTTATGGTAAAATGCCATAAAATTCCACTGCAACACATGATTTAAATTTAGAAAATAAATAAATAAAACTAAATGTATAAATAATTATAATGGAACATATATCATCTGGCAGCTTTCCATCACATTTATATTAAAATTCAATTGTTTACTTGCATGAGAATGCGATTAGTAGCTGTTTTTGATTTTACCACGAAGGAAATACTATAGAACAAAACAGTTTTCTAGCAGGAATCAGAAATGATAAAACATTTTTGAAAGATTTTTGTGCCAGAATAGAAAAAATCTTACAAAGGATCTTTCGGTCAATATTACAAAGATTTTACGAAAGAGTTTAAACGATTTTTGCCAGCGTAGCCCTGTAAATGTAATTAATAAAACTTAACCTAATACCTTGATAAAACTCCACACTTTAAACTAAAATATGGTAGAATAATTATATCATGTGATTACTAAACGAAGTATAATAAATTTGTAAATTGTCCTAAAATGTGCCTCGCACGAGATCTATTTATCCTATATGATCAATATTGACAAATTAATGAAAGATAAATGTAAGCTAAATATATTGCATACCATTATTTTTAGTACCAAGTGTATAAATCCATTTGTGAAAAGTTTAGGTAGCAAAGTGAAGTAAGTGCTATTTACAATACCTATTCACATAATTTTTTAAAGCCCATAATCTCGCTTTTCCTAGGTCGCACAATTAAAGCAGTTATTGCACTTCACTCATGTATTTCTTTTTTTTTATAGGCGGTCAAAAAGTGAGGTCATTAATACTAAATATTAGGGTTTCAAATATATAATTTAGATACAACAGCAGTCACCTATGAATATGTATATGTAAGATTGATTACACGTAATTTGACATAGTACTGTTTTATCGTTATTTGTTGTTGTTCCTTAATATACAAAACAATAACAAAAAAAAACATATAAACTAAAAGCAACAAATGTTAACAATTGAAAACGTACGTACGTATTCCGGTAATGTACGTACGTACGAATGTATATGTTGTGGGGAAAACTTAAGAAAATTGTGAAAGTCTAGTCGGACTGGTAAGTGTATTTTTCTAGTTTTTGCAGTCGTTAATTTTCTTTTGGATTTAGCCGTGCATCATTAAGGTTAAAATTTTGTTTAGTTAGCAATTTTGCTTTGCATATGTATGTATATATGTGTATACGTACGTATATAATATATAATTATTTTACGTGTAAAGTGAACATGTGATTGCACGTGTAGTTTGAAGTAGTAAAAAATTCGAGTGTAAACTTAATAGTGGATTCACACGAGAGCTTTGTTTGTAATTTTAGCTGTCAATTGTTGTTGGTTTTAATGCAAAATGAAAATTTTTGACAGCTAAAATTACAAAGAACACTCTCGCGTGAGTGAATCCAGCATGAGACAGGGCGATGTTAGGTAAAGTGTCATGGGCACGTCCAATTTGGTTTTTTTGGGCTATGACGAAAAGGCATGTTATGTAGAATGTCTACTTCTTTTTTACTTTTTGGGTGTGCCTAAATTTTGAAAGTCAATATAAAAATGTAGAAAACTCATAGAGGCTATAAAAATGTTAGTCATGTTGAGTCTTTTTCGAGTTAGTGGATCTGGCACTTTTACTCTTTGATAGCTGGGGGTTTCTTCAGAGTCCCAACCTTCTAATTGACTAATTTATGTAGTCCTGAAGCTTCGTAATTATTCGATGACTGATCTAAGATGTCCGTACCGCCCCGTGCGGCTTGAGATTATTCTGAGATTCTATAAGTAGGGTAAGTAGGAGTGCTAAGTAGGGTAAGTTTAGTTTGTTATTATATTTTCTTATAATAATTGTTAACGATATTTACAAAATTATACGCCTTTTCTTAAAATCGAAAAGTGTAAGAATTAAATTATTAGCTCTTTATAAAATAGACTGTGTTGCTGTCATGGTAAGAGTTAGCGTCGGTTGTCACGACGAAATTTGTCCCAGCATATTGTTTTTCTCTCACTCTCTATTTTGCATGGGATCATGTCGTGCACGTGACCCATGGAGGACTGTCCGTTGGCAAGTTATTTGGTTATAAATATTGTGAATTGTTATATTTAAAAAAACTTTGTATATGTAGGTTTTCATTTTTATATGAGTAGTTATAAAACCTATTACTATATAAAGTGTATATATCTTTATAGAGGTAATAGACTCTTGCCTTTTTCTTACAGATTTTCTCTAAGACGATTATAAAGAATCGGCCTTTTACTAATAAAAATATAACGATTTACTGTACATACATATATCCAATGATTCAAGTTCTTAATGGGAATGAAAATGTGCATTCGTATCTTCGATCTACTCCAAATAGGATAGTGATAGTTTGTATCCGGTTGTATTCATGGGCAATAATGATTATTCGCTTTAATGGTAGCCTTCTACATTTGTGTAAAGTTCTGGTAAAATGGCTTTTCTACAAAGATTTATAATCTATTAAGTATACTAAACGCTCAATTACTGTAAATAAAACTTTCATGCCCAGTGGTCTATTACTATATGTTAAAAAAAAATATAACGTTAGATATTTTTCATATATATAGATATTATAAAAACATAAAAATCTATCAAACGTTATTCTTTGTTAATGATAAAGTCGATAAAATAGATTTCCGTGAGTAATATTACAATTGAACTCTCCTTAATATTGCCTTTATATTGAAATTATATTTTTTGTTATAGGATATAAAATTCTTATTATCATGCAATTTTCACATATTTTAAAAAATATGAATACTTTTTATAATTCAGCGTTTATGTATCAAAATAAATTGTTTGTTTACATAAATAGCGTTGTATGGTCAGCCAAATTTCAATAAATTTATCAAATTTTTTTTTGTTGTTTCTTCATTACTGTTCGAACCCTTCTAGCTTTCTTTTTGTCATAAGACGCGTCAAATTCGACAAAAAAAATTAACCTTATAAATTGTTTATGTTAATTTGTAACAGATTCTGTGTAAAAAGTATCGGGCATTTATGTTTTGAAAAATGTGTGAGGAATAACACCATAATTTTTTTCTATAAATTGACAACACTCTACTATGTGTTACTATGTAAAATTTAAACGCTTTTTGTAACCAACTATTCCTGCAATTATGCTTTTGAGTGTTCTGCGATAGCACGTACCAAACATTGTACAATAGTTTTTGACAAAGAACTTAACGACTCTTAACGACCATAATGTATTGACTCGATGTAGCCTACTTTAAATACGACAAAATAAATTTTGTTTGATTAATATATATAATAATACAATTTATATTTATTATTTAATCTGTGTTCTTCTTATAAAGAATTCACAAATTGTTATATTTGAAAATTCAAATTTTATATAACTATTACTTTATTTATTAAGTTATTATTAAGTATTAAATTTGTATTTGAATTAAATAAATATAAAACTACAATAATATAAATATTTTTCTTTTTAGACATTTACGTAACTTTAATTATACTTCTTTCTACTTACCAAAAATGACTTCGACTGAACTAAAAATTGGCCTTACCGGTAGTGCCCGTCCATCTAGTCGCGTTCTTAAACCTCCAGGTGGTGGTCATTCAAATATTTTTGCTGAGCCTGAAGTAGCAGTGAATGCACCACGTCCAAAATACAACCAACAAAACTCTTCCAATTTAAATGCTTGTATGGGTTCTACTGATCCCAATCAAAAAGTCGAGCAACTACGACACGAGATCGAGCAATCTAAACAAGAACAACCTAAAGCTTCAGCAGAGACTAAAAAAGATCAGCCAAAAGACACTAACAATGCAGCTAATGGCAATGGTGCTGGTGCAAATGATCAAAATGCACGTGGACGTATACCACCAGGTGGCTTCTCATCTGGCGGTTTCTGGTAAATGGCCAATACATTAACCAGAGCTAATGCAGCATTTATTTATATAACGACTTATATTAAGCTACCTATATTTTATTTATCACTAAAGCCTCTTGTCAAATAATGTCATTAATTCTGTTTCATATATTTTTACGTTTATATAAGATTCAATTTTAAATTTGTTCTAAGAATGTTTATATTTTATTTCAATATGTCACAACATTTTTCTTAAGAATTGTTGCTTTAACTTAACCAATAAAAATTGTATACATTCTTAAATCTAGACTCGATTATAAATTACTGATGTATAGCTAAAGTAACATTTAAGTTATTTTGTGGTGTTAATAAGTTGTTCTCATTTGATAAATTCGAAATACAATATTTCTTCAATAAGTTGATGTAATTTGGCCAAATTTATTACTAAAATATTTTTGGTGGCGGATATGTCGGAAGGAAAATAAGTCTTGAACCACAAAACTAATTAGTTATGCCTGTATTTATAGTATTAAATCTTCTTTATTTATTATTTTTAGTTAGAATATAATATGCTATATAGTTATTGATAGAATAAAAGATCAGTAACGTTCCATCATTTTTTGAGCTTTCTATATTCTATCCTACTCTCAATCTGAGATTATATGTCTTTATGACATGGATCAAAGGATTATTTATTTGTATATATAAATTTTGGATTCGAAACCCTAATTCCAGATATCTCTAAACACCATATTTAAAGAATATTGTAAATTACTTTGTAATTCTTAAATGCATCAAAACATACAAGTCAAGATGTACGTAAAAGGATATTTTTTTGTGGAAATGTAACTTAGTGACTCTAAGGTAAATCCTTTGGTTACCAATGAATATATTTCTTATTTAGGTTAATTCGAAATCAGTAATTATTACTGAAATATTAATATAAACGAATAATCATAATTATTATAAATGAGTAATCATTACAATTAAATAATTACTATTATTGTAATTGAATAATAATTATTATTACAATTAATTAATTATAATTATTATTAATACAATTGAATAATAATATATTATTATTATATTATATTAGAATATTAAATAACCTTATTGATTTATTAATAAAATATAACGGTAGAACGAAAGAATAGAAATATACGGGTTTCATAGAAGCCTTTTTTTGCGTCGACTCAATTTAATTATTAAATAGTTGTTTTTATTATAGAATATACTATTATAATTGAATTATTTTTATTATAATTATAATTTAAAAATGATAATTATGGTAGGATACTTTTAATTATTATTAAATAATGTAATTTATTTATATCATAGGATATATGTTAAACATATGTTTATATAGGTTTAACAGAACCTAAAACTAACAGATAAGAAAATATTGGCTGTGGAGGCCTTCGAATCAATTGAATAATTATTATTATAATTGAATAATAATAATTATTATTATAATTGAATAATAATAATTATTATTATAATTGAATAATAATAATTATTATTATAATTGAATAATAATAATTATTATTATAATTGAATAATAATAATTATTATTATAATTGAATAATATAATTATTTATAATTGAATAATACTAATTATTATTATATTTTAAATTATAATATTTCTATTATAATAATAATTATTATTATAATTGAATAATAATAATTATTATTATAATTGAATAATAATAATTATTATTATAATTGAATAATAATAATTATTATTATTACTGCATATTCATTAGAATCATTGGGTAATGAATTTTATTATAATTGAATTATTAAAATCGAATAGTTATTGCTTATTATTTAAAGATCAAACTTCTCAAAAGTAAAAGACTATCAAGGAAACCCCGAGTAAAAAATGTATAAGACTATATTTATTAGGGCGTTTTATTATGTTTATTACAATAGCTATATATGTGTGCAAAGCAAGGACGCTACAGTTAGATATAATAATCAACTAGCTTTTGCTATAAATCCAAGACCCCATAAAAGTTGTTATAGCCTATATCAAGAATGCGTTTGATAGGTCCATGATGAAAGTGGAGGTGGTGCTTGGTCGTGTGTGTGGATAAGAAGTTCTGAGATGGCGTTCCTAAAATCTGGCATAAAAGTTAAGATTACAATTATTATCTGGAATTGCTTAAATCAACCATTGCCTAAATTACTGCTATAAAAAACATTTTAAGCAATAAAAATTTATAAGTGCAATATTGTTAAAGTTTAATAAATTCGTTTTTATTTCTAATTAATTGCATAAAATATATTTTACAACAGAGTACTTAAAGATAAGGTCAAATAAAATTGTGCTTTTGATATTTTTCAAATTAGTGTACATTTTAATAAATCAATTTACTAAAAAAATTATGGTATATATAATATATCACTTCATTGTAGTTAGCACCACTTACTTCAACTATATAACAACGTTCAACATATTTTACAAATATAATCAGATTTAGTTTTTCTGAAATAGAAAATATAGAAAACAAAATAGATTTTTTTATCAATAAATTTCTAAGTATATCTTATTTTACCGTAACATTAGACAGTTTTATAATTCTGCGGTTGCTTGTAGTTTCTTTTGTTCCATTTGATACATATAGGCACGAGCCAGTTGTACACATTGAGTCAGGCCGACAAAGAGATTGACTGAGAATAGACCCCAATTCTTTGGAATGATAACTAAAGAATAACGTGACCAAATTATTCCAGTTGCTGCCAAGGCACCACACTGTTGTACTGATAACGTGTCTGCTGGACGCACCAAATCACTAAGACCAGCAACAACAAGTCCCTGAAAAAAAACCATAATAAGTGACAATCCTTATTTATTTATATAGATATTTATATATATTTTTATAAAAATACAAGTTAAGTACCACTGGTAACAGGGACCTTCAAATAAAAAAGTAAAATTGATTTTAAAAAAAATAAGGAACTATCGAATTTCCTGAGTTTGAGTATTTAACTAAACTGTAAGTATTTAAGAGGAATAGAACGTTTGATATATAGTAAATCATAGTTAAATATATATTTTGTACATATATATTATTTATTAGTTCCTTTGCTGGTCTATTAAAATAATTTACTGAACTTATAATTCGGTGAAAAATCGCCATTCTTTTCTTGAAAGTGCTAGTGCCTAGTTTGGGTGCAATTGGATAGGAGGCGCCATCATATAGGCCAATAAAAATAACGATGGTAAATATAAGGTATTTGTGACACTTTGTCGTGCAGGAGACGAAAATAAATTAGTTGTAAATAATTAGGGCCATTGTAATATTTAAAAAGGTGACACTATAAAAAGGTTTTTAGAGTTCAGTAATCTTAGCTAAATATATCTATATTGTGAGTCCCTAAATCAAAGAGTCATTATAATAAAACCAGCAATAGTTTCAATGCATATACACACATATATATATCTGAGCTACATTGGAAATAGCGGATAGACATTTGAGGACAGGAGAACGCATTTTGGATTGACGCTTCCAGGCAAATGCCGGGTAGTTAGAGTTTAGAAGAGTTGCATTTTTGATATTTAACTATTTCATAGTTACAGCAATAGCCGTTGAAGTTCTTATCTGGTCAATATTACTACCTAGAAAGCAGTGTCGTAAAGGCAATTATATTGAATAATGAAACGCAAACAAAAACAATCAATAAATCTATTATTTTCTGATTGTATTTGAGCCAAGTCATATTTGTCATGTTTGGTAAGACTTTTGAAAGTACTGTGTTCATATATGGAAATTAATTTAAGTTAAATTTATGTCTACATTTACAAATATTAATATTATATAAAGTTATGTGCTACGTCTGACCATTATAGCGACCCTAAAATTGCAAAGAAAGCTTCTATAATTCTATACTTATCTTAAATTAACCGATAAATGAATCTGCAGTAACTACGGTTTAACTTCATTATAGTTTTAGGTTTACATTAGTTAGATAAGTTAGTAATTTCTATTTTGTTTATAAAAGATATGGAACCAGAGATAGCCGCGTCGTATAATATACAAGGCAGCTTAGTTTAAAAATATTTTAATATTACCTTGAGCCTAAATATATAAACTAAAAATATAAAGAGCATATAACAAACACTATTATTTCTGCATATAATAACAAAAGAATGAATACTTTGTTTTAAGAACTGTTTTAATAAAGATTATGATTTCTATATTAGTCCAGGTTATGCATGATAATAGATATAAAAGTTCGGAATACTCGATAAATGCAATATAAATATGTATACTAATATGTGTTAAGAGAATAACTTTTAATTAAATTCATTTTTCGAGTGAATGTACATATGACCCGGTAAACTCATATAAGTGGAATTGATATATCAACATCATTTCCAATTAATTGTTTATCTGTGTATTTATATTATTCTATTTCATTCATTTTTATAAGTAATAGTGCATATATGTGTACGTATTTATGCACAGTTCGAGTTCCATAAAAATATCAACAATAAGTTCTAATAATAAAATCTCTGAGTGTTTACAAACGGTGAATGGCTCGATTAAAAAAAAGAATGATAAACAAATATTTAATTTGATTAAGCGTAAAATTTTTATCATGAAAAAATATTATTAATAAATTAAACAGGGTATTGGCACTTAAATTTGATTTAAAAATACTATAAAGTTAAGTATATTCGGGTATAAAGTATTGTAATATTCAAAGCAGTTATTTTATATAAAATTGACTGGAGGAGGAGATTCGGATATTAAATATGTTGAAATGTCAATATTTAAACGTTCATGTTAAGCTATAGTTTATAAAAAAGATATTAATTTAAAATTTCCATAAATTTAGAAGCTAAAAAATTTCACTAAATTTTCTGTGTAAATTACTTTGATTATAGCTCTGGTCTCCGCCTTTTTGTTTCTATAACTTAAATAAACTCTATTATCTGTATATGTAAGCATAACCAAAGAAGATTAATATTAAAATTTTTAAATTTTAAGTAATTTAGAAATATTTTTATCATTATGTTTCTGTTCCTTTTTATTGGGTTTATCTATAGCATAATAGCATATATATCTAGAGTGTGACGAGGCATCCACTCATTTTCTATTTGATTGTAAAGTTTATGTAAAGATCAGATGTAGGATACTTAGATAGAATTTGGTGACGCAAGCATAAATAAAGGGTTTCTTCATATTCTGATATTTAGAATATAATGGTACTGTTTACTATCGTTTACTTCAGGATTAACAATTAATTGATATGGCATATAATTGATATAAACAGATTCAATCATTATTGTTACAGTTATTACTATTACTCCACTATTACGATATATATTTTTAATTGATGTTTAAAATGAAAAAAAAAAGTTAATGAATAAGACTGTTATCAGCAAAAGTTTAAGTAGACAGCTAAATAAATGGCATTTACATCGCTTACTGTATAATTAAGAACTAATTGGTATGATCGAACAATACAAAGACTTAATCATTATTGTTACAATTACAATTATTAATATCTTATAAATCTTAATTGATCTTAAGTTTAAGTACACAGTAGATTATTAAGAATTAATAGGAATCAACAGTTTAGATGAGTCAGTAGATATGACAATAAATATTCACTTATATTTCAGTGAAGCATGAGTCTATAACAGAAATTCTCAAACTTTGAGACCAGAAGAGCCTTGAATGTTCCCCAAAGAATTCTAAACATTTCGTGAAAAGGTTGCATTATAATAATATAAGTTAACACGTAATGAGCCACACTTCTATGTTTAAATAAAAATATCCGATGAATTATGTTTAAAAGCTCTCAGGTGAGAGTGTTGTAAAAAGCTCCCTCACATATGAAAGAGTTCAGTTCAATTTTGGCTCTGTAGTGTAAAACATATATTTAATAAAGAAATAAATAATTGATAATTGGTAATAAAATAATTTATATATATAGTTTGAAAACATTTGTTCTGTAGAATAAAAATAAATTTAATAAAATATACATAAAGCAAATAGCCACTATAAAAAGTTGGAGAATTTGAAAGTAATAAAAGAATGTGTTGAGGTTCCCTATATCTGTATTCTATATCCTATTGTAAGAGATTACTCCATAACAACCTCTTTGGGTACAAAAGTAACAATTATCTATCGATTACAGCATTGATTCGGTTAAGAGTATTAACTTAAAAGACAAAGAGCATCACAACTCTAGTCAGAGATTTAACAAACTGGGTTACCTCTCTGTGAAAGCGATTACAACAACATATTATTAATTAAAGTGAGGTTCCAGGAATGGTAGGGTCTACGTCTTGAAACAGTTGGTCAGTTTTGTCTACAAAGTGCCGTTCATCTTTCCCAAAAGGGAATACTAGTAGATTGCCACAGGTCACCACAATACAACAATAACAATTAAAGAGACGATTACTATATTCATTATGGACTCGATAAATAGGTATACAATATAATATCAAGCGGTCGTATGTGACAGTAAAAGTTTGTATTCATTTAATAAGGCATGACAAATATTATTCAGTAAAATTGATTTAAATCAATATAAAAAAATTAAAATCAATTTAATTCCCATCTATCTCTAATCTATTCTTACTCTTAAACAATTTCCTCTCCTTTAAAACTATCATCACTCATCCGCATGGGTTAGCAACCTATGTATTACAGCATTTTTAACTTTTAATTTGTTGCTGTTAAATAGCACTTTAAGTTTATTGATATGTTATAAGCATTGACTACATGCGTGAGTGAAGTGAAGGGCTTAACTTTGCAATTGATATGAATTGAAGTCTGACATTTTTAATGTATGGCTTAAATATTTTATCAAATTTTGAGGTTTTTTATCTTTGTTTTAAAGTAGTATCGCTACGTTGCACAATAAAAGTTTAATGGTATTTATGTATACATGAATAATTATATAATAATATACATATATAAATAAAAACTACACATTTTATAAAAATATATGTATATGATATTTAAATTACTTTTGTGCTTTATCTTTGATTTCAAAAATTATGATATATGCTGCTTTTCACTAGAGTAATGTACTAGAGTAAGCCTTTCTTTGCACATAAATTTTCTTAAGCACTTGTTTACATATGGTGGAGGAAAGTTTTATGTCGACAACTTATTCAATAATAAGGTCGAGTTTATTGAAGATATTATTTTAAACAAGATCCACGGGTCGTCTTCTCTTGAGTCCTCGAGTTTTCGTAAGTTTTTTTATTGGAAGTGAGTTAATTACATTATTTTCGTACATAAATGTATGTATATAAATATATATATGTTTGTATATAATTCTATTTATTTACTTTTGCTTAGCTGAAGCTTTTAGTATTTTTTGAATTATGCTAAAGCACTGAATTTCTTTTTAATTTGACAGCAATGATTAATTAATCAGTTTTATGCAATCACTTTGACAGACGACAAATCCGCTGTGTAACCGTGAAGTAAGAGTAAAGCGAATCGAAAAAAAAATTAAAAAAATAGAAAAAAAAAGAAACTGGCGAGATAAAAGTGTAATCAAATTTATATTAGACACAGATTTCGTGCGACGCAAATTTAACAGTTATGTAAGTAGCAGAACAACAACAATGGCGCGCATAACTGACGAAACACTCACCCACTTAAATATTGGTGCCCAGAAAAATATAGTTTTAGGACCTATAAGATAGGGTAAGAAATGCATTTATAATATTGAAATTATTAAGAAAAAAATCAATAACGCATACCTGCAGGATGCACCCACAATGGACGCAATTTCGCTGGTACATATTTATCAACACTGCCAATTAATCCATTATACACACGGCTTGGTAAGCCTTTTCCCGTAGAAGCTGATACAGGTGGAGGTACTGGAGCACCAGCAGGGCTTGGAGTCGTTGATGCCATTTCTATTTATTTGAAATTATTAAATTATTTATATTAAATAAACACAACGTATAAATAAACTACGCACGTACCGAAACACAATTCACAACTGAATCATGAGCAGACAATGTAGGTCTGACAAAGTGGAACAGTAACAAAAAAATATTAGCACACAACATACGAAAATGAGAGTACACTTCAGAAAAGTTGTTCGACTGGTTGGTTTCAGTTGAGCAAAACGGAGAGGGCAAATATGCAAAAAAATATGGTGAGCATTTTGTGGCACATGTACTTCCTCTCACTCTGTTTATTGAACGTTCAATTTGTAAACATTTCCGATATTTTTTTTGCAGAAAATATAATTTGCTAAATTTTACCACTGTCATGTGTCCTTGGCATTGTGTATTCTATGCGATAAAAAAAATATTAATTGCACTGTGCCAATTTCCGCAACTAAAAATAGTAAATGCACTGCAATTGAGTTCATTGCAGCAAACAAGTTTTACAAACAAGAATAACAACAAATCACGCGACATAACAGAGACAACTCAAACAAAGAACGGCAAAAGAAGACGAAAAGAGAGCAGCGAGAGTGCATAAAAACACATTCTATTTACATTTAATTTCGGCGAGCTTTTATTAAACACAAGCAATAAACAGTTTTTTTTGAATTCATAAATAAAAAGTGAAAATACTGTGAATATTTATTTATTAATTCAATAGAAATTTAAATAAATATATTTAAATTAATTTATTAATAGAAAAAATGAAAAGAAATAAATGTAAGCAAATCCGAATTTTTCAGCAATAAATTATTGTTGGAGTTAGAAAAGAAATTACTTTTTAGTTATTTTTTTATCGCCGTTCTTTTTGATATTCACGAAAGTGAAAAAAGTAAGACAAATATTAACAAAAAAAATAGTAATAATAAAGAAATAAGTAAATAAATAAGTGTGAAAAAAAAAATCACAAAAAGAATTTTAAGGCAAAAATATTATTAATGCTTTGTAAACAATTACAAATAATAAAAAATTCCTGTTTAGGTTCCACATAAAAAAATAAATATAATAAAAAAAAAAAAAAATAAGATAAGCTTAATCTGACGTTTATTTTATTTATAAATTACTTACAAATTCATTAATTTCTTTCAATTACTAAAATGAATTTGCATAACTGTGTACCGTTTTATAGTTCATTATATTTATAGCAAGACCTTTCACCTTCCTATGTTTTAGTAAAGATAATAAATATAATCGAAAATATGTTAATAAATATAATCGAAAATAATAAATATAATCGAAAAACATCAGTTAACTGTTGCTATTCATTCGTGTGTTTTTATGAATTATCTACGGTTTAAAATCAATTTAAATTCCGTTTTATAGTTCAGCATTTTTAAGCATGACTATTTACCCCTTCCTAAGTTTCAGTCATAAAAGTAACAGTCTTAAGCCAAGTGTGTTTTTAAAATCTGCAATGCAATAAAGTTTTTTCTTATAAAAAAATAAATAATTATATATTTTATCAATATATAATATTATAATTATATTAATATTTAATTACATTTTTTAAACTGAGTTTATTATTTCTATAATATTATACTAGCACTACATAGTGCTTTATGGACACAACTTTAAATTAGATATGAGAAAAATTAAATGTGTATTCAATCATGTGCAAAAAAACATAGAACGTGGTGAAAAAAAGAATTGTGGTAGTAAAATAATACTCACATGTAAATTCTCTTTGCTATATAAAATAACCATAAAAACGAACCATAAAATTATAAATGATTTTAACTGTTATACAACTTTTATAATTTTAAATTATAATCATAACTTCTTTTAGTAAATATATAATGTATATTTAAACAAATAATGATAATAATTTAATATAAAATGTGAAAACAAAAACTATATATTTTCTAATTTTAATAACAAATTAACATTTTAATGCCAAAAAAAAATTTTTTTTGTAAAAGAAATTTTAACGGAAATATTATAACAGTTTCTATTAAGTTCTACATGGAATTTAAAATGCGCTATAAAGTAGGCAACATTTATTTTCGAATTACAATTCAACTGAGAGTGTTGCATTTTGTTTTATTTAATAATTGTTCAGAGCAAGTTTGTTAAAAAATATGATTTATTAATTAAATAAAATTTAAGTGTTATATGGAAATTGAACTTCGGTGGATTCGATAAAAGCCTTCATGGAATTCTTGTTCATCAGATTATGTGCATTTATACAACTGTAACGATATTGAAATAAACGCTTCAGTATGTTATTGGCCAGCGTCAAAGGTAATTTCCACTCTTGGATTGTTCTCGTAAGAATAACGTGAAATTGTCAAATATATAACCCAAAACATGGAATGCAGTAGAGAGGAGGACAAAGGAAAGTAGTAGAGAAGAAAGCACTAATCTCGCAAAGAAATGCAGCTATGATTCAAAGAGCTACACGGTGATTTTTACATCAAGTCATGGCGCAAAGCCATAATCTATGGTCTACATCGGTGTAAGTCTTAAGAATTACTTACCTTTAATATAAAGTAATTAGATTATTTAGATTAAATTCGGTTTAAAACAAAATTTAAAAAAAAGTGGTCTGGATTAATTTAACAATTCATTTATTTTGTTTCATTACAGTTCATTGCATATGTTTTTTACAACACTCACTATTGTCTTTCCATTTAAATGAAATGGATCAAATGCGCAATATCATTTTATCGTTTTCTTGGTTTTATTAATAACTGAGTTTTCTGGCAGTTTTCTGGAAGCTGTTTATATAAGTTCACTTTTGAAGAAGGCTTTAGTTTACATACATTATAATGTAGTAATTTTAAGAGTATTCTCAGAAGGATGGTGTCCAATGTAAGGGGACATACCCACAAGTAAAGTATTGTGCATGAGTTTGGGGGAATTGACCATATATATCAAAAACATTACATAATGTTAAGGTACGTATATAACTTGTTACTGCTATTATTTTTATTATTCATACTGACTTCAATTCATATTGAAGTTCATACTGTGTTATGCGTAATACCTATGTATTACTATGTTTTTAATGTTTTAAGTAGACGAAAGGGCATTTAATCAATTCTCAATTTTTATTATATTTCTTAGGAGAGAACGCGGGATTAGGTTATATTTTTTTGGGAATGTAATGACTCTTTCGGATTTCTAGAACTTTTGAAAAGAGTCTACTCGAGAAATTAGATTTATTATAAGTGTTATTCTTTCAATTGCATAATCCCATAAACTCTAATTACAACGATTATTAATTCTATCTTATCCTGGAGATGTGCGGGATTAATCCCTAGAGTTTTGATAAATTTGTTAGGTCTGATTTGTTAGGTATTTTTTGATTGCTCACGATATTATTTCCTCATACATATTTTCCGCATCAATATATTTTTTAAAATACATTTTATCACTTTTAAAACATCAGTGAATGCTACAGCTTCGTGGATTCTGATCTTTAGGTGATATGTATTGTGCATGACGAAGGAATGATCTTTCTTTGATATTTGCAAGTCCGTTTGTAAGTCTAGATCAATCGATGGACGAAACGCAAGTTTCCGAGAGTTGTATAAAGTTCAGTGACGGTTTAGCACTATAGTAGGTAGGGGATGCTGTAGAAATCTCGGCATTGCAAACCATTAAAAAAGCGAAAAAAACAATTGTATGGAATGATTAGGGTAATGAAATTATAAAATAATATTTTGTCATAAAAATACTTTTTATTATACGTAAAACTAATAGCAGAAATTTGAAAACAACAAGGCATAATGAACTTCATATTAAGTATTTTTATATATAACAAAAACAAATATTCATTTATACTAATGTACTTTCTTAATAATTTCAAACATTTATTCTTGATAATATTAATAAAATTTTACTTTTCCGGCTTTTCTATCGGCAAACTCTCTTACTACTGCATTAAAGTCTATGTTTTGTGTAATTTCGTTTTCGATTGACAAAGTTGCCAAGTTTGTTAACCTGGGTTGAGACATTGCACTGGACCCGCAGTTATGATATGATCAATTTTTTTTAATATTTCATACTGGTGGCCAAGTAGCTGATTCTGATATATTCGTAATAACATCACTAACGTCAATGTTTTTCTCATAGGTATCTAGATCTTGTAATTGATCACTAGAGCCAACATTTTCAGTAAAATCTGACTCTGTAGCACAAGAAACATTATTTTGAGACTTGATATCAGTGTTCTGAACTTAACAGAAAACCTATTGTACTTAACGATTGAATGTTGTACGTTATGGCCTTATGCCATTAAGATTACTGATATGACATGAATTAAGTATGAACTTCATATAGTGAAATAATTTCACTTTCTAAAAACCCATGCATATTAACTGAGAGTCTGGGAGTCTGTATATTTTAAAATGAACGATTTTGTAGCAAGGTCGGTGACACACTAACAACCTTTTTTAACATGTCTAATTCGTAATTTGAATTTAAATATGGACATAGAGGACTTGTCGCTAGACTTGAATGTCGCGAACACTGGAGCATTTGCTTAAGTAACTACATAGACTTTATTTTCGTTAATTACCTTAATTTTGAACTACTTCTCCGTTGTTCTCTTAATAGAGATTTTTTACAAAAATCATAGTATGCGTTTATAATCTTTAAACGACAGTTATTATTTTCATAATTTTAAAGTTTTTTCTATATATTTTTCAGATAGAGCAGTTAAAAGTGTATTCATTCTCTAATTGTTGACTCGATGATTTGCTTATTCAAATAGAAAGATATACATTTCCGCTATTTATGTTAAAAAGGTGAGTATATAGCGTAAATATTTCTTGTAAATCCATTTAAAAAATTAATTTGCAAGAAAAATCATAGAATTTTTATTAAAAAGTGACATTTCTTACAGATCTCATAATTTTTTTTACTGACGTAAATTTACAGTTTTGGGTAAAGCACCCAGGTGAGTACTCCATTTGAAGACATTATATTGATTAAAGTAATTTGTTAATTTGAATAACTATTAAAATTTTTTTATATTTACCTAACTATTATTACTATTGTAAATATTGGGCTCTCTTATATTTTCTTGATTGCGGGTAGACATAATTGTTCAAATTATAAATCTTATACTCTTTTTATTATTACATTTGTAATTATAAACGAGTGGCTTCGGGATGTAGACCCGACTGTTCTTGGAACCTAGAATCAGGTAATGTACGTTAGGTACCCAAACTAAGAAACTTGGCCAAGTTTATAGCCTTGTCAGGTTGGTTTGCTTCCGCTTAAATAACGGATATGTGCCTATTAACGTTGTTCGTACGCCGACCGCAGTGGTTCTTTTAGAAATTCTTCTCATCTGAGTATTAACAGTGCATAGTATGACCCCGGGAGCTCAAGTTGGCTTTGGGTACAAGGCCGGCCGTCTCTTAAGCATAACCTTAACTACGTAGTAGTTCTTGGTCGGTGCTCTTTCAAATATGAAATGTGAAAACCAGTATTTTTGACATGTTTTACTGTTTTACTATCGAATAGGTAAAAATGTTGTGAAAGGAATAAAATTATTATGCAGTGTCAAAATTGATTTGCCAATTTTGATGTTAAAGATTCCATCACTATTAAGAGCACTACTTGATACAAACTGGCAAATAACAATTTATGGGATCGTTGAGACATTAAGTCTATCGAATTCGATGATCGAGTTCATTTAAAATGCATAAGTTTTAAAATATTGATATATGGATTCTTCAGGTTCAAAAAAATGTTTTAGACGGTAAAATATTGGCTTTAAATAAAAAGGTTGAAAATTATCTGCATTAGCTTTTTGTCATGAAAGTAAAAAAATTTGAAATGGTATTCAGGCCTATTCTGAATCGCAAGGGAATGGGAGTTTGTTCCCTGTTCCCAATTCCCCTATTCTGAATAAATTTGGTATGTTCCCTGTTCCCAATTCCCCTATTCTGAATCGCATGAGAATGGGAGTTTTTTCCTAATTTTGCACAAATTCTCTCCCTACCAAATTGTTGGGGACACAAGTTAAAAAAGTATTAAAAATGGTTTAATTTAATATAAAAGTAACTGAAAATGATCAGATTTTTGAATATATTTTAATAAAATTATTATTATAATAAAATTATTACAATAAATTTAATATTTTCAAAGTTTTATTTTTTGATTAGTTTTCCGAATATATTTTAATAAATTTAATATAACAAAATTTTCATTTAATATATTTTATTAAAATTATTATTTTAATAAAAGTATAACAAATTTGAAATATTTAAATTTTTATTTATTTATTTTATTCACACGGGTTTTTTCCACTAATTAAAGTGTTAACTATTGTTTTTAAAACAATAGAAAAATGAAAGGAAACCAAATTCTGAAATAAATGGATTCCTAGAATAAGTTAAAATAAACTGCAATTATGTACAGGTAAAACATTGCTTCTTTTTTATTGTAAGATCTGCACAGGTATAAACTATTATTAGTTCATTAATTGAAGCATGAAGGACATTTCTATCCTAATTATATAAAAAAAGTAAATTATCATTTACGCAAATTTTATATAAAAGCAGTGCATGTTTGAAAATAAAGACATTGAAGAATTGATATCATAACGTAAGGTTTTTTTAATTAGTTAAAAATTTAGAAAAGAGTTAAATTTAACATTTAAGTAACCAATAATAATAAATTTTTCGAATATATTTTAATGTGATATTTAATGTCTGATGTCTGATAAGCTCCTTCAGCAAGGAAATGCAAACAACCGCTCAATTTCACAATTGGAGCAACTGCAAACTGCTTCTTTGCTGGTTGTAGTTCCTCAGTAAGTTCCTCTAACAGGTAAATAAATGCTGGTTTATTTACTTTGTAATATTTTTGAAATCTATAATGAAACAAACGTTTATTTTAAAACCAAATTAAATTTACATTTGTACTTACAAGAAATTAGGCAGCTCAAGTGGATTTGCTGCGTCTCGCAAGTTTCTCCGATTGATCCTCTGTTTCAAAATTTCTTGCTCATGTTCTTGAGCCAAATCCTCCGTTAATATTCGAAATGCAATTGAATGCATTTTTAAAGTTTTTGAAAATTTTTTATATAAATGAACACCAACAACTGCACAATTCTTTTTATATTTTTATTTTTCTCATTAAAATAAAAGTTTTTCATTAATCACTTATAAAATTATTTATATTTATTTCTAATAATTTGTGCAGCAAACAAATAATGCGATTTTAACATTTAAATCAACATATGATACGCAACTGTTTTTTTTGTTTTGCTCATTTTCTCACTTTTGGTCATTAAAAAGTGGCATGGTTGCCAAAATTTAACAAAACAAATTTGAAATTGTTGTTGTTCACGAAACTGCTGTCTCCCTAGCGATTCAGAATAAGGGAGCTGTGTGTTCGGGAACAGCGTGGGAATAGGGAGTTTTTTCGCTGGGAGTATTCAGAATAGGCCTGATTATGTTACTGCTAAATAGATGGTAAAGGGTATTAGACTATAATGGACAATATATAGATATATATAGATTTTATATAAATAATCGTATTTTGTTTTCATAAAAAAAAATTTAATTACTTTAACAACAATCCTATAATTTAAAATTAATATGAATTATAATAAAATTATTATTATTATTTCCGTACTCTATTAGGAGCTTAACGAGTCTATAAAAGTTTTCCACTGGTGTCTGTATTGTGTGCTACTGCTCTCAACTCGTTTAACAATTTGATCGTCTCCTGCTGAACTATCCTTCAGATCATTGCTGGTCCGCCTCTGCGCCTTGTCCCCTGGGGGTTTCAAGTAAGTGCAGAATGCGCGATATTTTCATAAGGCTTACGTAGTGTGTCTCCAATCAAACCATACTTCATTTTTGTCTCACTGTTTATGTTTGTTTGTTGCGTTATTCTCCATAACTCTTAATTTAAAATCGTTCTAGGCCCCATATGCCTAATATGTTGCGCAGGCATGGCAAGTCAGGTTTCCGATCCATATAGGCATTCCGATTTAACGCATGCGTTAAAAATTTTAAATTAAAATTATTAATATCAGTAATGTTTCACTAAAACATAAAAATTATAAGATTTTAATGAATAATTTTCTTTTTATTACATTACATTAATTTATTAAAACTTTTCACAGGACAGTAGTGATTCCTATTGCGATTTTTGTTTTGTTTTGATGTGTAACTGATGGCAATTTCGATTGTTAAATCTGGGGTAATTTATTCAATCGACGAGATGCTTTTTTAATGCACTTTTACTGCAAATTTGATTAGTAAATCTAGGGCAAAATGTAGAACAGTCAATCAGTCAAGATCAATTTATAACACTCTAGATATTTTGCCAGAGTTGAAAGATTACTCTGCAATTAACACCTGTTTTATATGATTTCACAGATAAATTGTGATTGGATTCGATATATGTATTTGTGAAAGATATAAATGTCTACTTACACTACTTGAAAAATGTTAGATTACTCTAAAAATGTCCGATGGATCAACAAAATTTGACAGATCGAGAGTAAATCTAAATTGCATCCAGATTTAACAATAAAAAACTCCATTAGCTCATACTAAATAGAAATCCAACTTATTCTGACTGCTTGTCGGTTTTCCTTTTTTAAAATTGTTATACTTACTGTTATCTTCCATTGCCTTTAATTCCAATTTACGTAAAAATAAGGAACAAATAAATGTCTCATCTGCTACGGTTTTAAATTTTTTTTACATATTTGACAGCTTCACCTTTTCTTCAAATACTTGCCACCCTTATATAAGTAGTTTAATTAAAATTTATCCTATTTCTATAACATGCAGAATAAATCTTCGGGACTTCCCATAGCGTTAAACAGCGCAATCTGAACATGAAAGGATTAGCGGTTCAACTGTCACTAGAATATGCACTGACTGTACACTTTACTAACTAATTTATTATATCATTGCCGGAATTTCAATATTCGATTTGTTGTAGTGTTAAACGAAAAATCACAACTCAATTCACCCTCAACCCTCTCCCCTCTTCCGTTCTAACGCGAGTATGCCAAGTCAAACAAATATGACACGTTTATCAAAGTCAGCAACAACTCCCCCGTCGCTTAAACCCGTGTTACGCACATGCTGTGTGCTTTGAATGAGGGACAGACATAAAGCTTCAATTTACAAAATGTGAAATATTATGACTGCTTTTGAAAAGGATAACAATAAAATGGGTTGGTTTGGTTACGTTAATCCAATAACAGGCTTACATACCAAATCTTCTACTGACGAGCGCAAAACAAGAACAAGCACAAGCAGCGACACACACATGCTATGCCAGTGTAAATTTACTTACCATCGCCAATACAAGAACAACAGGCGATGGTTATAACAAAACGCAACAACAAAAACGTATTATTATACGTATTTATGCACAGTCATAAGCTGTTTTCAAAAGTTTTAATTTTTTATTCCATTATTATAGTTCGAACGTAACGGAACTGACACCTTTCCTTCAATAACAAACAATATGCAGATATTAATTTTAGAATAAATAATCATATTCATAATAACGTAAACGAAAAACGTAAAACGTAAAACGAAAAACGTCTAACGTAAATTGAAATATTTGTGCGCTGGAACAAGCAGTTGTAAAGTACGTAAGTAAGTTTCGATTGCTGTTTCTGTGTGTGACGACCCCAAACCGGGCGAATCTGTCAATTGTTAGACATTTAAATAATGACAACAAAGAAGACTGCAATCGAAGTAACAGAAACTTTGAAAAACGTCAAACTGTTGTGTATATGTGGATGGCGTTTTGCTGACGCAAACTGCTGATTTGAATGGAGATGATGCTGATGTTAATGCAATGCCAGCATTTTTAGTATTTAGGATTCAATTAAATTTAAGTAGGAACTTAAATTAGTTACTACCGAACACCCTTGTGTTATTGATGTTTCGATGTTTTCTTATGCAA